ACCCTGCCCTGCAGCATAGGCTTCTGCCACCACGTCCCTCTTCCAAAGGCTCTAATAAATAAGTATATTTTGACTTGGTAACAAAGTGATGACAATGTTGGCACCAATCAGACTTCCAAGGGGAAGGCATCCCACAGTGTGATGCTATAGCAGAGAAAGCCCTCTCACATGGTTTCATATAATCAACAGTTCTCAATGGCAGGACATGGAGGAGGGCAGGCTTCTGCCACCACGTCCCTCTTCCAAAGGCTCTAATAAATAAGTATATTTTGACTTGGTAACAAAGTGATGACAATGTTGGCACCAATCAGACTTCCAAGGGGAAGGCATCCCACAGTGTGATGCTATAGCAGAGAAAGCCCTCTCACATGGTTTCATATAATCAACAGTTCTCAATGGCAGGACATGGAGGAGGGCCCCCCTAGCAGGTCTTAGGAATTCACCAGGTTTATATAGGGAGATGTATTCTTTTAAATATCCAGATCCCAATGAGTTAGGTATCTGGCTGTGGTGCCAGGGCCTGGGAGTTCAATTCTCGCTGTGCATACCAGAAAAGCCAGTCTGCGTGGCCTTTGATAAGCTATACCAGTGATGGCAAACCTATGGCACGCGTGCCACAGCTGGCACGCGGAAACCTTTCCATGGGCATGCAAACCAAAAGTCACCAGAGCGCTACCCCCACTCCCACCCCCCACAGCTGAACCTCAAGCTGCACGATTGTAAGCCATCTATCCCTACTACCTTCTTTGGTGGCGGCACTTGTAAATCAGTTCTTTTAGAGATTGGAGATAAGGCTATTTTATTGATTACTGCTGTAGAACAGCCTGGGGCAGTCAATACAGCTTGTGAATTACTACTTCCACCGGACGTGGCTGCAAGCAGGAGGGAAAGCTCCAATTAAGGTGCGAAGGAAGGTGTGAGAGAATGACAGGTAGATTCATCAAGCTTGTTTAAATGTAATGAGAGGAAATGGACATACTGAACTGAAGCAACTAATTGTTGAAAATTGAGGGAGGAAGGGTTTATGTGTGTGAGAGAGACAGATACACACACACACACACACATAGAGAGACTTGACTCTTTCATAAAACCATGAAAAAAGGAACCTTTCAAAGTTAATCTCCACTGCATTTAACTCTGTAGTTTCTGCTGAGAACAGCAGAAGTCTGAAGTGTGTAGCAATTGCATTTCTCTGTTTCTCATCCCCAAAGCAGACAAAAGTATCATAGTTTATTCCCAAAATCTGGATCCCAGTCTTTCTGCTCCTGGTTCTACTTTGACTGCAATACCAAACAAAAGACTGTGGGTTTCTTTATTGAGTCAATCCATCTCATGTGCAGTCTTCCTCTTTTCCTACTGCATTGCATTTTTTCCTGCACTGCTGCCTTTTCCAGTGAGCTTGTTTTGTTATTATGCCACTGTAGCACAGTACCCTTTGTTTGGTTATTTTAGCTTTTAGTGAAAGTCCACATTTACTTTGCTTTACTTATACTTCTGACAAGTCATGATATCTTTAAAACTTGTTTCCAACACTAAATTTCAAATAAGTTAAATGTATGTGTACACTTTATGTAGTGTATAAAATGTATATACTTTAAAAGTGTGCACTCCTGTATATAGCTGCTTTTCTGAGGGTGGCTTACTTTGGAGGAAACAAGTCCAGGATTTCAATGTACTGTACTGTACTTAATAAGCTTTATAAATAGGGTGCATTTAATTCAGTGTAGCATTTTGCACCTGACTTTTTTCTAAAAGAGCTGTCAGTTGGAAGAATCAATAAAGAACCAGACAGATAATATGTGTAAATGTGACAATAATATTTTTGGTAGGGATAGATTTGTATTGGGTGCTTCATTCATCTTTTTTTAAAATATGAATTTTGTGTTTTTTAGACTCCAAATCCTGAACAGGAAAGAAATGAGTGCAGCCAAAAAACAAACAACAACAACAAAAAAACTGAAAGCAGATAGTGGGAGATCATTCGAAGAGGCCTGGACACTTTGAAACTAATTACAAAAGTGTTGCTGAACTTGGGGAAGCTGAAAGGAGTTTCTTGAAGGGAAATTGAGGAAATATCACTCCTAACAGTTTTTGCAACTATTTTTCTAAAACAAATAATCTGATGGCTGACAGCTTTCAAATTTCACTCTGCATAGCAGAACATGGTCAGCCCCTCTTTGATAGGGATTTTATCAAAATGGCCATGTTGACTGGGAGTAATTCTCTTTTTCATGATTTCCCAAAGAAAGATAAAATTATGAAACACATCTCTGAGATGCCACTTAGCAGAAATACTGTTAAAGATAAAATCCTGCATACAGGAAGTGATGTTAGTCAGCAGCTCACCACTGACTTACAACAGGCATCCATGTGCTTGGATAAAAGCACAGATATAAATAATCATGCAATTAATTTTGTGTTATGCTGTTGGTGACATCGAGACCTTGAAAGTGGGCAGCTGAAATATTTTCCAAATCTAAAAATGCATTTGGAAAATTCTACAACATTTACGGACAATCCTACAAGCCATCAGGAAATCTACAAGGAATTTTCTAGCATTGTAGCACCTGCAAAAGAGAATTTTAGGAACAGATTTTTACAGTTCCATAAGATGGAGACAACTCTGTGTTTTCTTACTTCACCAGATAAAGCCAAATTTGAAGAACTTGATCTTTCGTGCTTACAATGGTTAGATTTTGGAAATATGGAAATGGAGCTATTGGAATTTCAAGAAAACTCTATCTGGAAAAATAAATTCTATGACCTGTGTGCAACACTGAAGAAGATAAGAGTGCAAAGGGACGACAAAGGACAGAACAGTTGGTACTGTAGTTCTGAAAATGAAATCCTTAAAGTGTGGAATTTTCTGCCAAATAATTTTAAGTCAATGAAAGCACTTGGGATTGCTCTTCTTACTTTGTTTGGGTCATTTTATGCTTGTGAGCTGCTGTTTTCAGCTTTGAATTATATCAAATCTGATGCCAGAAACAGACTGACAGATGACATGAGAGCTGCATGTGTTGCTCTCAAACTAACAGCGTATGAGCCAAGGTTTGACAAATTATCAGCATGCATACAACATCAAAAATCACATTAATTGTGCAAAAGCATGCTCAGTTGAGTATCCCTTATTTAAAAAATACATGCACATAATTATTTTAAAAGTTTGTATAAATTACCTGGCCTCAGGCTATGTGTACAATGTATTACTTTTATATTTTTTTCCATTTACTAGAGTTAATGCTTATTTTTCAATAAAAAGTGTTGTATCATTAAAAGTTCTGTTATTGTGTTTTTCTTTTAAGACAAAATGTGTTAACTAGTTCAGACAACTGTATAACTAGTTTTTTTCCCTAAACTAAAACCTCAGTATTCAGGTTTATTACAGTGTTGGCACTTCAAAATAAATAATTTGGTTTTATGTTGCCATTTGGGCACTCAGGCTCAAGAAGGCTCGCCATCACTGAGCTATACAGTCCCAGATCACCCCCAGAAGGGAAAGGTAAACCACTTTTGAATATTCTTTACCTGGGAAACCCTGAAAAGGGTCACCATAAATCTTGACATTTATGACTTGGCAGCACACAATTATTAAAATAATTTACAGCACAAGGGGCAACTTAGTCCTAAGTACAGTAATTTGCATTCACGTTCTGCCAAACAGATACACTGTGGCTGGAGATGTAAGGTTGCAATACTGTATTTCTCTACACAGATACACTGTGGCTGGAGGCGTGCACATCTTTTTTTGAAGTAAAACTCCCAGAATTCCCCAGGGAGCCACGATGAAATATGTTGCCTGGGGAATTCCGGGAGTTGTACTCCAAAAACACAACATAACAAGCTGCAGTATACAACATTCCTTCATGATGGGATCTGTATCCAGTGGGTGTCCATAGATTTGCCCCTTAAAAGCTATAGGTTCTGCTGCCCCTATCAAGCCAGTGATGAAATGAAAAACAACAGGAGGCTGTCCAAATGTTATTAGACTACAAAGCCCTAGATAGCGATAAAGGTTCCTGTGAGTGGCAGTCCAAGAATATCTGTAGGGTCTTCGGTCCTTACCAAATTCGAACGAACACGGGACCTTTTTTGAAGGGAAAAAAGGGAGTAAAGCTCGCGAAGTCCAATTATAGGCACGACAGGGAGGCGTGTTGACTGCTGGATTCTGGGAGTTGTAGTCCAAAACCTCCCAGATATAATCCCCCACTTCCAGGGGGATTATATCTTCCTTCGTGCCCTCCTTCCCCAAAATGACTCTCACAAACGGAATGCAGTCCCAGGATAGCCGCGCGTCCTTCCAGCGGCCTCCCGCATTCCCTTGACTCCATTTACAGCCCTTGCTTATGCCAGGGGTAGAAACTCAGGGAAAGGCGCTTCTCGGCCGCTGGGAGGACTGGCCTTGGCCGGAAACGTCGGCTTGTCGTGATCGGGTCCCTCGGCCAACCAACGGCTTTCCCGAACCGGAGGAAGAGGCTGGTCGCACCTGGGCGAGAGAGAGTAAGGGAACGGGGGTAGGGGCGCGTAGCACAAGTGGTGGGGCAGGACGGTATAAACGGGGGGTGGTGGTGGTGGTGGTGGAGCGGGCGGTGTTCGCGCGGAAGTCCGGGCGGAACAGGCCCCTGCTCGGCTACAGTCAGTGCAGAGGAGCCATCCGCCTGCTAGTCAAGCCGAGGGGACTACCGGCCACGTGCAGTGGGCACGCGCGGGCGGGGGGAGGAGAGAAGAGGAGAGCTATTGTTTGTAAGACCGTTGGGCGGAGCTTGATAACATTCAAGGGCAGGTGGCAGAGGGTTCCGCAGGAACGCGAAGAAAAGTGGGGGCGGGCGGGGGAAGCACTCGGCAGGTCGGTTGAGATTGCCCTTGAGACGGCGTGTGCATGCATGCTTTCGGGGTGCTGCGGGGGAATCTCGGCTCTCTAGTCCCGGAGGGGAATAAACCGATTGAGTGAGCCGAACAGATCTGGATGCCCAGAGAGTATTCCATTATTATATTCCGGGGTGGTAACTTCGAGCCTCCTCCTGTGCTCCGGTGAGACACAGCCCCGTGATCTTGGAGCACAATAAAACTTATAGCACCCTCTGGTAGTCTGAGTATGAAAATTCAATGTGTATCAAGATATAAATAGCATCATTGTTGAAATGATTCCAGGCAACGCTGACTTGCCTATTTTTACAAGCTTTATTAATCTACATTGCCACTGTGTTCCATATGGACAAAATGAAATGCAAACGTTTTTAAAGCATGTGCTTTTTAGGAGTCACAGGCTATTACTTTTTAAAAAATCATTCTTACAGCTATGAGAAAGAGCTGTAAGTACAGGTGGGTAAAAGTATATGAAGAATGAACATAAGTTACAGGCAGATGCTAAAGTCAGAAAAAATAGATTTCAGTTGTAAGCTTTTGGCTATAAAAATTTGATAGAAGTAAGAATTGCACTAGCACCAACATTCAGATTTTGAATTTAGATTTGGAATTCTGAACTACAGTCCTTACAGATTCAGAATGTGAACATTTAAAAATCTGGAATTTCTAGATATCCACAACTCTGTTACAGTCCATATGCATATTATATAGTCATTATTCTTCCCTTTAAAAAAAAACACAAACAGGCAAAACATTTTTAAAGGATTTCCCTGTGTCCTCTGACACCTTCCTAGTGATTGGGCCAAACCAAAAGAGTGCACATCAATAGCCGGCCATTGCAATGACTGTAATGGGCATACTGACTGAACTCTGAACAGTGAGAATGCCAGCAGGAAATGCCAGCAGCACTGGGGAAGCAGAGGAGGAAGTCACGCTGGGGAGTGGGCAGATTCCCTGGGCAGCACTGGCAGGCAGGTTCGAGTAGCAGATAGCCTGCGGGGGTGTGGACTGTTGTCAATAGCATGGGGCACAGCATAGCTGAGTGAGCGAGCACTATCTTGGAGAAGCAGTTGGAAGAATTAAATGGCAGCAAGGAGGCAGCATGGCACGCCTAATACTGTGAGCAAAGTGTGGTGTTCTCTCTCACTTAAAGGGAACTTCAGATAAATGGCAGCAAGGAGGCAGCATGGCACGGCTAGTACTGTGAGCAAAGTGTGGTGTTCTCTCTTACTTAAAGGGAACTTCAGGGAAGCCCAGCAATGTTAGGTTGACCTTAAGGAAAATAAGTTTTTCTACAGTTCCAGGTTCCAGGCATGAATGGTGTGGACTGACACTAGTTGGTGGGCAAGACAGCAGCCCCACTGCCACTTTGGCTAGACCTCTCCAAATGGACTCTTTTAGGCTTGTAGGGCTCCTGTATGTACATACATCCCTGCCTCTGCCATGTCCTTCTTCTGGAGCAGTGCCCCTGCCATGCGTGTCAAGATGGTGTCCCAGAAGGCTGGCCCAGTTGTTGCAGTGGGGAGGGATTTGGATTCTATAATACAACTGCTGATACTGCTGTTTGGGGTGCTGTGGACATTGCTAGTTCTTCCTGCTATGTGTGACCCCTCAGTGCTAGCCAGATCTTCACACTAGCTGCTACTGCATGTGATGGAAAGTGGGGCTGGTATTGCCTCCCCTCTTGCTGTTCTTTATTATTTCTTTTAAATATTTTCCCCACCTTTCTCCTAAGAAAGGACCCAAGGTGGTTTACATCATTAACAGAAAGTATATAAAGCTAACAATAGTGAGTACCGAAAGGACCAAACAGATGTCACACTAAAAATAAAAACAACACCAAAAAGCATTCAAAGTGGTAAAATAAAGCAGTACGTTTAAGAAACCCCACGCAGACAGCCAGTCACTCCGGGAAAGCTTGCCTGGAGAGAAAGGTCTTTGCCTGCTTGGGGAAGGACAGCAGAAATGGGGCCAGCCTGGCCTCCTGTGGGAGGGAGTTCCAAAGTCTGGGAGCAACAACAGAGAAGGCTCTCTCCTGTGTCTCCACCAAACAGACCTGTGAAGAAAAGCCTCTCCTGATGATCTTAACACTGGAGCAGGCTCATAAAAGGAGAGGGAGTCCTTAAGATAGCTTGGGCCCAAGCCTTTTAGAGTTTTGTAGGTTAGAACCAGCACTTTGAATTGTGCCCAGAACTGAATCGGCAGCCAGGAGAGCTGCTGTAACAAGGGGGGGGGGTTATGTGATCCCTGTGACCAGGCCCAGTTAGCAATCTGGCTGCGGCATTTTGGACCCACTAACATTTCCGAACACTTTCCAGAGGCATCCCCATATACAGCGTATTGCAGTTATCCGGACCCACTAACATTTCCAAACACTTTCCAGAGGCATCCCCACATACACCGTATTACAGTTATCCAGTCTGGATGTAACTAGGGTGTCTGCCACCATTGCCAGATCGGGCCTCTCAAGAAAGAGGCACACTCCTGGCCACCGCTGAAACGTGGTCATCCAGACTCGAGAGACGAATCCAAAGGCACCCCCAAGAGACACGTCTGTGTTTTCAGAGGGAATGTCACCCCATCCAGCATGGGCTGCAGCCCTGTTCCTTGATCTCCCTTTCTGCTGACCAGGAGAACCTCTGTCTTGTCTGGATTAAGTTTCAGTTTATTCACCCTCAACCAGTCCATTACTGACACCAGACACTGTTTTAGAACCGAAACAGCTTCCTCAGAATTAGAAACATCTCCCAGCTGTTTCATGTAAGTAAGTAAATAAGTAAAACATAAAAGTCAAAACAGAACCCCAAGGGACCCCACAGACTAGTGGCCAAAGTGTCAAACAGGAATCCCCCAGCACCACTTTCTGAGCACTCTCCTCCAGGAAGGACCTGCCCCACTGTAAAATAGTGCCTCGGAAGTCCCATCCCAGAGAGACAGGCCAGAGGTCTCTGGTCAGTTGTATCAAAAGCTGCTGAGAGGTCCAGCAGAACCAGAAGGGATACACTCCCCTTGTCCAGTTCCCAGTGTAGGTCATCCACCAATTTGACCAGAGGAGTCTCCATCCCCTAACCAGGCCTCAAACCTGGTGGAAATGGATCTAGATAATCCATTTCATCCAGGACCTCCTGGAGCTGAGAAGCCATGACTAACTCCAGTACCTTGCCCAAGAATGGAATATTAGAGAAATTGTTAATTATTGAGTATTGTGGTATCCAAGGAGGGCTTTTTCAACAATGGTCTTACTGTTGCCTCCTTTAAGTATGCTGAGATCCTACCCTGTTGCAAGGAGTTATTTGCCACTGTTCCCACCCAATTGACCAGTCCTTTTCTGGCAGCTTTTATAAGCCAGGAAGGGCAAGGTTGTAGAAGACATCCATTGCCCACTGTTTATTTGGGGGTGGGGGTGGGGGAGTTTTCCAAGAGAATTACTAGAACATACTTTTAAAATACATTATTCCAGAAGAGGGGGCCTGGAGTTCTTAAAATATTACAATGATTTTTGTGCCTTTCTGATTATCAAGTGGCGCTAATATAACAATACACATTTTCGAATTTGCCTTAGGGTCAACATGAAAACCCTTGCTTTGTTAAATTATTGTTGCTAAAATTTGCTTTATCCTTTTAGGTAAAAATGGGATTCGTCTTTTCAAAGTCCAGGAATGACATCATCAAGAATCAACAGGAATTCATGGTTATGAACTCTCGACTTCAGGTTGGTTTTAATGTAGTAGAAAATCAAGCAGTATGCTGTTAGACATGTTTAAGTTAAGGTAAAGGTTCCCCTTGACATTTAGTCCAGTCGTGTCAGACTCTAGGGCACGGGGCTCATCCTCATCTCCAAGCCGAAGAGCTAGCGTTTGTCCGTAGATAGTTTCCGTGGTCACATGGCCAGCACAATTAGACACAGAACACCATTACCTTCCCACCGAGGTGGTACCTATTTATCTACTCGCATTTTTACATGCATTCGAACTGCTAGGTTGGCAGGGCCTGGGACAAGCGACTGGGGCTCACTCCATCACATGGATTCGATCTTATGACTGCTGGTTTTCTGACCTTGCAGCACAGGCTTCTGCAGTTTAGCCCACAGCAGCACCATGTTTAGTCAATACGTACTGTACTTCATAAAATAGTGAAGCTGGCTGGTGGTGCAATTTTGTTTCACTTACATTTTAAGAATGTGCATACTGTCAGCTGCTCATGGTTCAAGCAGGTAAATTGAATGCCCTTTTCCTTTGTTGTGATCATGGGCCACTGCTGGTGTGGTTATCTATTGAAATGTCACCTCTCCTTTGGCCTCAAGAGAATAATCAAACATGTTGCTAAAATATAAAAAAAACAAACCAGAAAATAAATCCTTAGTTAACTGCAGCTTCAGTAAGCTTTCACACATGAAAATTATCATACCCATTTTGTGAGAGTGCTGTGATAAAAGGCTGCCACAGCTGCTCCATGGAAGCAAATTTATGAGATGACTCTAAAACACAACCCCACCCCCCATTTGTTTATGTTTAAACAGTTGGAGACCATGGTTGTTGTAGGTTTTCCAGGCTATTTGGCCATGTTCTGGAGGTTTTTCTTCCTAATGTTTTGCCAGTCTTTGTGGCCGGCATCTTCAGAGGACAGGAGTTAGAATTCTGTCTGTGTTCTGATGTTCTGTCTGTGTTCTACACCAGAGATTGGTGAAACATTAGGAAGAAAAACCTCCAGAACACGGCCAAACTGCCCAAAAAACCTACAACAACCATCGGATCCCAGCCATGAAAGCCTTCAAGAATACAAGATGGAGACCATCGCTGTGCAGTTTTCAAGCTAAAGACCTTCCTGTTAAGTTCAGCACAGGAGAAGAAGAAAGATGTTAGATTTACTGTTGGATGAAGTTTGGCTGCACAGAGAAAGATGTGCAGTGAAGGTAGGATTGAAATTAGTGTACAGAGTTTTTTAAATTTTTTATTAAGCACACAATGATTTTCACTTGCACTATGGTTAAACACAGCCATAATCCTTCTGCAAGTAGGATAGAAGGTATGTATTTATTAGTAGTTTCCTGTTTCCTGGCTATCTGAGCCGTGCAGTAGTAATTACATATGTTTCACACATCACTGTTAGCTTTGTCTGACATTAGAAAGTGACACTGTGATAATTTCTAATAGTTGGGAATGATGTTTTAACATAAAGGAGTCTGTGTGCTCTGTGAAATACAAAACGTCTTCCCTGAGGAAACAGGAGTATTAAATTTTATGTTAGTACCGTAGTGTCTTTATAACTCACTGGCTTTTAAATTCAGATAAAAATGTGATCTTATTGCTTGTCTTCCTACCCTGAACCTGCAAGAGGTACAGATTTTCTTTTCCTTCTGCCCTGCAGCCTTCTGCATGGCCTTAAAATGAGAGCAGGCAACTTTGAAATCTCCAGGGACTAAATTTCCTATACCTAGGGCCCATTGAGAGCTGCACCAGCCGCCCCCAAATGAACAAAAGCCGTGAAAAATCATAAGCAAACGTTGCCAAAAGTCAGCTTCTTGTTTCCCATTTGCGAGTTTGGGTTGTGGAGGACGGACACAAAACCACCACTCCTGGACAGAAGAGCCTTTTTCTTTGTTTTTCTTTTGTTTTGTTTTTTTGCAGGGCTTTTTAAAAAAAAAAAAACAGGCAGAGATCCATGAGCTACAAAAACTACTGGGGGAAGGCATTTGTAGCCCCAGACATCCAAATTGTCTATTCCTGTCTTATTAAAACCTACTCTTTGGGATTGGGGAGTCCTCCAGAATATATTTTTGGGTGGACTGGGGGGCTACCATGGAGAGGGGAAGAAAGTCCCATTATTCTGTGCAAAGTTGGATTCAGTTTCTGCTACATTTAATCCCTTAGTATTCCATCATTAGATGTCATGCCTGCTGGTCCCATATGAGACTAGACTATTTGTGTTGACCTTCATAGCCTTTTCTTGGTAGTGGTTGTGGGAATATTTTGTATAAAACTTTCAATATACCTTCTATAGTTTTATTTTAATTCTGCAAGCTATTTTATAATTTACCCGTTCTGATTAAAAACCAGGAATTAGCTCCTGGCATTCAAGAGCATGCTTGTCAATGCAGATAGGATATGACACAGCAGAAATGAAGGGGGAATAGTTCTTTTGGGGTCCACATTCCCTTGAGTGTAATCCACATGCTGGTGCTGGATAAGGCTGAGGTCTAACGTGGGAAAAGGTGGAGCCAAAAGTAGATGTCCACAGAAATCACACCACAAAACATGGTGGAAACATTCTGTGGAAACAAAGCATTAATCATTTGTTAGACTGGTTTTGGTTTAGGATGCAGGACAAAGGCTGAAATGCAAAGTGCACTAAAAACTTGCATGACAAGCAAGGTGTTAAACAGGTATCTATACCAGAAGCAATGAAAGAGGCACTCCTCAGCTTGGTTTACTTTAAGGGTGGAAATTATAAAAAGATCTTTACTTATTCCACCTATTACTTGTACTGTTCAATAATCCTATCAATACATTTAAGATTAGAAATTAGTTAGTTAGTTAATTAGTAAAGTACAACTGAAGACCATGTAAGTCTTACTCAGTGCAGAATCTATATTGCAGAGAGAAACTACGTATCCATTATTGATGGCCATCTAGCGTTTTCTTGAGCAAAACAAGGCTTATTTCCTACCAAGACAGTCTGCTCCATTGTCAAACAGTTGTCTCCCCAATGCTATTCAACATTTATATGAGGCCGCTGGGGGAAGTCATCAGGAGTTTTGGAGCTTCGTGTCATCAGTATGCAGATGACACCCAGCTCTATGTCTCCTTCCATCCTTCTGCAGAGGATGCTGTCTCTGGACGCCATGCTGGGTTGGATAATAGACTGAGGCTGAACCTGGACAAGACAGAAGTCCTGCGAGTGGGGGCCCCTAGTGTCTGTGGTCTGGGTGCCTCCCTCTCCTTCGAAGGGCTACTCTTTCCGTGAAGGATGAGGTGCATAGCTTGGGCATGCTCCTGGACCCAGCGCTGTCTATGGAATCCCAGATAGCGTCAGTGGTTTGCTCTGCCTCTTTCCATCTAAGGCGGATTGCCCAGCTGCAGCCCTACCTTGACACTGGGTCTCTCACCATACTAGTTCATGCATTGGTAGAGTATTGCAAAGCTCTCTATGTGGGGCTGCCCTTGGGGCTGTTATGGAGACTTTAACGGGTCCAGAACGTGGTGGCCAGGTTGCTGAGTGGGGTCAGGAAATGCCAACACATCTCCCCGACCTTGGCCGCTTTGCACTGGTTACGTGTTCACTTCCATACCAGCTTCAAGGTGATGGTGCTAATCTATAAGGCCTTAAACGGTTTAGGACCTTGATAGCTGGCAGAGTGCCTCCTTCTGATTAGATCTGCCCATCCAGTAAGATTGTTGCAGGCAGGGCAGTTGAGTGTTCTGACCCCAAGAGACACCGGAAAAGTGAGTAACAGAAACCAGGCCTTTTCAGCAGTTGCTTCGCTTCACAACTATGGAACAGTCTCCCTCCCGAAATCCATCTGGCCCCCTCATTGGGAACTTTAAAAAAGTTATTAAAAACCTGGCTATTCAGACAGACCTTTTCAGATCTTATAACAACATGATACAGTAGTACCTTAATACTTAAACATCCAACCTACCACCATGTTTTTATTTTAATTCTATTTTATCTTCCTTTCCTTTTCTTTTATGAAGTTTTATGGTGTTCTTTATTGTTATTTGTTGTGTATTTCTTACATTTTATTTGGTAGCTGTTCTGTATCATGTTATTCTGTTGTTGTTGTTTATATTGTTGTAAACTGCCCAGAGTGGTCTTGGCTGCCAGATGGGCAATATAAAAATCAAACAAATCAAACAAAATAAAATAAAATAAACAAACTCATACCATTAAGAAGTTTCTTAAATTGTTCCGCTGAAAATTGTTACCCTGCAACTTCTCTTTGTTGATTTCAACCTTGCTGTTTGGCGCAACAGAACACGAGTGTGTTCTCTTTTCTGCAAGACCATCTTATCAGGTCTCTCCCAATCTTCTCTTCTTTAGACTAAACATACCCAGCTTTCCCCCCCAAATTTTCCTCCTAAAAACTGGCTTCCAGACTACCTTATTATCCTTGACAGCCTCTTCTAGGTATATCTCAGTTTGCCAATGCTTTCATTAAAATGAGGTATGTAAAAGTGGCGCTCCGCATTATAATCAGGCCAATGGGGTTGATCTGTTTGTTGCTTCTTGTGTTCCAGGACTGATGCTTCTGTTAGAGCATCAAATAATTTTTCTAACTTTTAAAAAGCTACCTCTGAATATTACACATTACGGTATCACTTCCAGGCATGAGGACAAACCTACTTAGTATTTGTTCTTTAAAAATGGTATGTGAGGGTTCAGAATTACCTGATAAAATTGGCCAGAGTAAATCTGGACAGTTGGTAATTGCAGAAGGCCCAGAAGTGTTGCTTATCGTAAAGACCTCCTGGTGCACTTCATTTTTCATTTTAAGCTATCTTTTTGCCTGTGAAAAAAATATGCCTTTTCCCAAATATTTGTAGGTAATAAATATTGTAACCTTTAATAATACTCTGTCAAGTACTGAAATGCATATAAACACATCATCTAATATGGAAAACGTACGAATAGCTCTGTCCTACAGTATTATTGTACCATAGCTCAGTTTTGTGGAGATAGTTTCTAACTGTAATAGTATAAAAATGCTTACACTGGAAATACCTTGTTTCCCCCCAAAATAAGACCTAACCTTAAATAAGTCCTAGTACGATTTTTCAGGATGCTCGTAATATAAGTCCTACCCCAACAATAAGCCCCAGTTAAGTGAAACCCCACCCTCCACCATTGTGCAGCAATCAGAAGATGACACGACTGTATTTGAATAAATGTAGATTGTTGTACATGAAAAAAATAAAACATCCCCTGAAAATAAGCCCTAATGCGTTTTTGGAGCAAAAATTAATATAAGACCCTGTCTTATTTTGGGGGAAACATGTTATGTCTTGAAAAATTGATTAGGAATGGGAGATTAAGGTTTGAATCTTGTTAAAATTCTGCTTTAGCTAATTTTTTTCCTTAGGTTTAGGGGAAACTTTACTTTGTATTTTCTATCAGTTTTTTTTAACAAGCTTGTGTTAAGAGCCATATATAAAAGGTAGCATATGAGTCCCCTCCCTATTATAATAGCAAAGATTGTCTTTTGAATCTTCAAGTTATCCACGTGTCGCCTTGCTGCAGTTGTAGACTCAGTCATTCTACTAATAATTTTGCATAGCAAGAAAATAGAATGATAACAGATGAGAGAGACCATTCTTAGTCAGATCAGAGCATAAGAGAACATTAACTCCACAGATATAGCAGTTTCTCAAAATTCCCCATGATATTCAATACCGTTGATTTAAAAAAACTGAAACTGAAAAAAGAAGAATATTCTTCTGTCCTTGAAAAAACTACAAAACAATTACAGTTCAACACTATAAGCAAAATCATTTTAATTGCTTAAGTAAGCAAACTTGATCTATTTTGTTAATTTTGACATTTTGTTAAGACCAGCAAATACAAAACAATTTAATAACATTGTAATTCAGGAAGGATTTCAGGGGGGAGTATAAAATAAAGTCAGTCAACACTTACTACAGTAAGCATATGAATTAACTGGGCAAAAAACTAGCTAATTTAAAGCAAGCATCAGTTGAGGTGCCTTCCCCCGCCCCCATCCACTGTGTGCTGCAACATCCTGACTGTTGCATAGATGGGAAAACCAATACTGTATGTACCTCCCCTACACATTCAGTCCATGATTTCCTTTCCAGTATGTCTTGATTACAAGGGGAAATACACACCTCCCTGACTGACTGCCCATGCCCTGCTGCAGGTGTGTGAGGGAGAGGAAGAAGGAAAAATGCCTCTTCTCTCTGCCTCAGGGTAGACTGTGGCTTTAATTCGTGATCCTGACCTGGACCAAGCCGTTAGCCCATTCAGTAACTTTGCTGGATGGGGTGGTAGAACATTTTGCGAAAAAACAAATCTAGCCGATCTCTAGCAGTCCTGTGAAGAGATACTATGTAGAAATCACATGGCTACATAATCCTTTCAACAGAATATTCTGTATAAACGCTGAGCCATTGGAGCAGCTGCCAGACTTTGGCTCCTCTGTTTCAGCAGCAACCCAAAACGAAAGTACAGGGGCACCTTGAAGACTAAAGCATTGATTTCAGCATGAAATTTTGTGGATACAGTCTACTTCCTCAGACACATGAATGAATACATGTCAGAGGGGTGGATTATGTCCATGAAAGCTTGCGCTGTAGTAAATTTGTTGTGCTGCTGCTGTAATTGTTTTGGTTCTCTTGTTGTTAATCACAGCTGGTTTATGGTCCCAAGTGAGGGGGTCCTCTGACAGATTTGGGAATGAGTCAGCCAGTCTACCCAGGTCATGTGTTATCCATATCTACAAATGGAATGTTCTTGTTTTTTTTTTTGTTTTTTTTTTGCTTACATTCAGCTAGAGAGGCAAATCCTAATGCAGAACCAGATGCGAGAAAGGGTGATGGCTACGAATATTGCTTGGACCCGGGAATTTCTAAAGTATTTTGGAACATTTACTGGCCTTGCAGCTGTGGGTCTAACCATTGGGTATGCAAATACTATCATCATTTTCTAAATAATTAAAATAAATGTCCATTTTATTGTGCCACCTCTATGGCATTACTGTATCTGACAAACTCTACAATATGCAAATGCAAAGTATGCAGATCGTACAATCCAGAGATATGAAGCAGAAATATTCAGCCTATAGAAAAACTGAAGATGATGATACAGTAAATAAAATCCAACTGTGTAATCCAGGGCAGGCAACTGTGGCTGTCCATATGCTGCTGGAATTCAACTCTATGCCTGTTAAGATTGATGGGAGTTAATGTGTAACAGCTTTGTTGATTCCACAGTTGCCCATCCCTGGTTTAATCAGTAACAAAACAATGTTGCATTCTCTGTGTTGTGCCACTTTGCATGAGTGATGACCTCATTACTATCATACACCTCTTGTTATACATTATCATACACCCTGTTACACACTTGCATTTTACACAATACAATTGATACAATGTTTTGGGCTAAGTGAGTGATGCCTTGCATTTCCCCACTGAAAAAGTGATGGGGTTTGGGTTTTTTGCAGAGAACATAATGATTTCAGATCAGTATAATTTTCAGTTAGGATTTCTAGGTCTTTTGAAACAAATGAGTAACAGAATTATACTCATGGTACAAACTGAATATCTGGAAATATCTTATAATTCACAGTTTAATTAGAGTTGGATATTGAATTAATTATATTTCCTGATCAGTGTGATGACAGTGACAGCATAGTTTGGTACATGCCCACTTGGCAGCTAAGCTGAGTGAGTTTATTGGGACTTACTTCCAGGTAAGTGAGATTAGTATCCACGTTTTCACTTATTCACGGTCGCAATATATTAAAAATATTCAAAGAAAATATCCAGAAAAAAACTCATGTGTATTATCAGAACTGACTGCTAGAGGGAGCCAGAGACCATGTTAGGAATACTTGCTAGTGAACAAGACATAGCATGATCCCTGTGTCCTCTAGTGGCCAGTTCTGTTAATGTATGTCAAAATATTTTTTCTGTTTTTTCCCTTTTACCATACTATCTGTCTGTCTGTCTGTCTGTCTAATTCACTATTATACAGTGGTGCCTTGCTTAACGGGTGCCCCATTTAACGACGAAATCGCATAGCGATGAAGATTTTGCGATCGCAAAAGTGATCGCATTGCGATGTTTTAAATGGGCAAAAATCGCTTTGCGATGATCGGTACCCTGTTTTGCTTACCAGTCATCGCAAAGCGATGATTTTTTAACAGCTGATCGGCGGTTCCAAAATGGCCACCGGGTAAAAAAAATGGCCGCCCGCTGTTTTCTGGGACAGATTCCTCGCTTACTGGGCAGCTAAAATGGCCGCCGTATGGAGGATTTTCATTTAAAGGTGAGTCTGAAGCCCATAGGAATGCATTGAAGGGGTTTCAATGCATTCCTATGGGCTTTTTAAAATCGCATAGCGACGAAATCACTTTGCAGCAATTTTTGCTGCACTGATTATCGTCGCTATGCGAGGCACCACTGTACATGGTTTTCAGTATCCACTGGTGTGTGTGTGTTTGGAATCAATCCCCAGCAGTCCTGGGGGTCCTACTATGCTTCATAACCAGTACTTAAAATATATATATATATACTGGAAGCCATGAAGCCACGTTGCATACATACTTATCCCAACCTGGACTAAAACTAAATATCATCATTTTGGAGCAAAAAATATATAGAAATATATTATTCAAATTACTGTGTGCCTAAGAGTCATTGGGAAAGCTGCTCCCATGATGCAGAGACATTTGGTCTCACATCCACTCACTTGCCTCTTCTCACAACTGGTTAAATGATCAGGCACCTAACTGGATCTTTCAGGATTGTGACAGCCTTCTGTTCTTATGTCTGGAGTGATTTGAACAGAGTACTGACACATAATCCAGCTCATGCTTACTATTAGAAAATATTAAAGTATCTAAAGTACAGTGTTATAGAACGATGTTTAGAAAAATTGTCTTTTTAAATAAACAGGGCAGTTAAAAAGAAGAAGCCTGGACTCTTCCTTCCCTTGGTTCCTTTGAGCTTTATACTTGTCTATCAGTATGACATGGGTTATGGATCACTCCTTCAAAGAATTAAAAGTAAGTATTTCTATATTTAAGTATTTCTATAGCTCTATAGAAATTTCTATACCTTAAGCCTAGAGTCAGCCACATAGATTCCAGTATTCCTCAACAGCTATGTGGCATCTCTGGAGGCTCCCAACCAGCTTCAAATCTGGATTTAATTCAGAGAGAGGTTGTGTCCTCTGTCTGTATCTGTGAATGGAAGGGAGGAGGTACATATTCTGTAAGAAAATATTGAGAATGATACAGAGAAACATGTATTTGAAAAGGGCTGAGATTTTGTGGGTGTGTGCGTGGTTTTCTGTATTTTGTGTTGAGAGGGAATGATTATCAGTTTATTTCTTACTCACTTGAAGGGAAGTAATTTTAGATTATCAAACACTGGGGATTCCCAGCGTGGTGTAGTGGACAGGGTGATGGACTAAGGTTCATGGAAACTCACTGGAAGGGTGGAACTGGTAAAACTGCTCCTTAAATATCTCATTTAACTTTTAAGCCCCATTAAGATCGATATACTTACTGTAAGTTGGTTTCAACTTGACAGCACAGAACACATGCAAAATCTGAAAAATTGGCTTGCCTGTCTATGAATGGAGAACTTTTATTAGCACAGAAATCATTTTGGGGCTCAGACCTCTGCCCCTCCATATCCAGAGTTGATGTCAACGTGATTATTGCTGCTACAGTACTGATGCAACCGTGTTTTATACATGTGCCCATTTTTCTTCAAGGTGAAGCAGAGAACATACTTGATTCTGAATGCTCGATGCTAGAAATGCCAAAAGGACCCATCACTTTTGAAGACATTGAAAAAGCCAGAAGAGCACAGAGCAAATTTGTTATTGAAAAGTAGTTTACTGACAAACCAGTACATTAATGACAAAGATGTGCATTTATAATCATGTTGCTGACTTCAGTACTCTGATCCAACAGTGTGTGCATAGCGCTTTTTCAGTATGCCTAAAATATTATCAACCATTCAGCTGTTTGGCAGGGGGGAAAAAAGAAACCTGGATATGCAGTACCTCTTATAACATCAGTGAAGAAAATTATGTCCACAGCACCCTAACTGGATTGGGGCAAAAATCTTCAAAAATATTGTTGAAATGTAATGTGATTTTTGAAATAAAACTGATTTAATACAGAATTTGTTGAGATAGCCTTTTTCTATTTTTGCAATGCAGCGGTATTCTTGTCCATTCAGAAACAAACCCATTGAGCTGTGGACTTGCCTACTATTATTTATCACCAGGTAATGTAGTTATTACCCTGGAAAAGACCCTGATGTTGGGAAAGTGTGAAGGAAAGAGGAGAAGGGGACGACAGAGGACGAGATGGTTGGACAGTGTCATGGAAGCTACCAACATGAATTTAACCCAACTCCGGGAGGCAGTGGAAGACAGGAGGGCCTGGCATGCTCTGGTCCATGGGGTCATGAAGAGTCAGGACACAACTTAACGACAAGAACAAAAAATGTATAAGAACTGGTGTAGTGGATAGATGTACTAGGACTCAGAAAACCTGAGTTCGAATTCCTAATCAGCCATGGAAAATCATGGGAGGCAGTGGTAAAATTACTCCTTAAATATCTCACATAGCTTAACTCTAATAGGGCTTTCTCAATACTATGAATTGGATATAAGTGCAAAACTTTAAAAGAGCTGAAACTTTAAACTAAGCAAGTCTGAATATTCCTTATAGGGTATGTTGCTTGAGCCCATTGATCATTTGGGCCTCCCTTTTATATACAGTATTTTTTCTACCTCTGCAGAATCCTTGTTGGGGTTGCAGTGATCAAAATTGTACACAGTACTCTTAATTGTGCACCATACTTTTATATAAAGGCACTACAATAGCAGCAGTTTTATTTCTGAATCTTTTCCAAACTATTCCCAACATAGAGTTTGCCTTTTTCACAGCAGCGATTTATTGGGTCATCATTTTCATCCAGCTATCCATCTCAATGCTCTTTGGTTGGTCACTGTCAGGTCAGATCCCAACAGTGTTTATGTGAAACTGTCATCATCATTTTAGACCTGCAGAGCTGGAGCCTATGGATTCTGAAGTCCAGGCCCTGTCGAAGAGACACCACAAGGAGCTGGACTCCCAATCTCTGGCTCTGCAAAGATAAAGGTTCCCCTTGACATTTAGTCCAATCATGTCCCACTCTAGAGGGCGGTACTCATCCCCTTCTCCAAGCCATAGAGCCAGCGCTTTAACGAAGGCAGTTTCCGTGGTCACGTGGCCAGCGCAACTAGACATGGAAGACTGTTACCTTCCCACTGAGGTGGTGCCTAATTATCTACTCACATTTTTACATGCTTTCGAACTGCTAGGTTGGCAGGAGCTGGGACAAGCAATGGGAGCTCACTCCGTCGCGTGGATTTGATCTTACAATTGCTGGTCTTCTGACCCTGCAGCACAGAGGCTTCTGCAGTTTAACCCGCAGCGCCACCACGTCCCTTATCTGTTGGCTCTGCAAATAAGATACATAAATCACTGAGCCATCCAGGAAATTAGTACTTCTTGTCCCAACACGCAACATTTTACATTTGGCTTACACTGATCTATATTTGCCATTTTAATGCCGGTTTCTCAAACGTGGAGAGATACTGTACTTCCAAAGTTGTTTGCAATCTGTTTTTATTCTAATTACCGTACATATTTGGTATTGTCAGCAAACATGGCCAGCTCATTGTTCACCCTAACTCAAGATCATTTATAAGTAAATTCAACAGCACCAGCCCCAATACAGATCCTTGGGGAACCTCATTGTTTACATTACTTCAGAGAACAAATTGATTATTTACTCTAAGCTTTCTGTTCCTAAACCAGTTGCTCTGCCATAACAAGAAGTTCTCCACCGTTCCTTTGGATTCTAAGTCTATTTAAATATCTTTGGCAATAGAAAAGTGAAAAAATGCTGTGTGGTCACTGTAATCTGAAGGCAAGGGTGAGTGATAGCTTTATTTGACCACTAAAAACCCCAACATAGAGATAAACAGTACACTAGACTTTCAATCCCCACATGCGTTTTTGTCACAGACTTGGAGGTGGGATAGGAGAAACAAAAATTCCAGTAAACATGGTCAGATGTCCAGACCAGGTTTTTTTTAAAGCAAAATTTCAAAATGGAAGCTGCAGGCACAGGTCAGAGGTACAGAATTCAGATTACACTTCTGGTAGTATGGAATACTATGTTGTTTAAAGCAACATTCTGTCGTTTGGTAAAGAATTTTGGAAAGCCAATTAAACAATGTCTCAGATCCTTTTACCTAGTTACATTGGGATAGCACAAATGGCATAATTTTTAGAGCTGAAATGCCTTCAGTTTTTTTTTTAAATCATGGACATTATCTGTTGCATGCTGAGTCACACTACTTAATAAGGAACAGATAAAGGTTATGGAGATTTCTTAACAGCAATTTGCTTCCAAAATACATTATTCCAAAACGCAACATTATTTGCATCATGGCAGCATAACTGAGGATTTTGGCTGCCAAATAATAAGATTCAGCATGCAACTGATAAAGTCTATGATGGTCCCTTAACTTGGGGCAACTTTCTTCCCAAAGGTCTATTTGAAATAGCTTTGCAAGAAGATTTTCACCAATGTCTACCAGATCACTTTGTCCAGTTATATATTGGCACCCTTGAATAACTCTGAAATAGCAGTAAGACTGGACTTAGCTTTGCAGAGGCTGTGTCTATTCTTCTTTCAGCATGGCTTACTCTTGTCTGCACTTGACAATTTTATGTTTAATAGCAACTTTCCAGTTATTTACTTGAAATCTATGTTAAAGTAACTGGCATGTAATTACTCTTTTTAAAACATTGGTATTGCATTGGCCACTTTCCAGTGATATCAAGGCCAGTCTTTGATGTGGGCCACATGTGTGTGTGTGTGTTTAGTCGTTTAGTCGTGTCCGACTCTTCGTGACCCCATGGACCAGAGCACGCCAGGCCCTCCTGTCTTCTACTGCCTCCCGGAGTTGTGTCAGGTTCATGTTGGTTGCTTCGCAGACACTGTCCAGCCATCTCATCCTCGGTCGTCCCCTTCTCCTCTTGCCATCACACCTTCCTAACATCAAGGTTTTTTCCAAGGACTCTTTTCTTCTCATGAGATGGCCAAAGTACTGGAGCCTCAGCTTCAGGATCTGTCCTTCAAGTGAGCATTCAGGGTTGATTTCCTTTAGAACTGATAGGTTTGTTCTCCTTGCAGTCCAGGGGATTCTCAAGAGCCTCCTCCAGCACCACAATTCAAAGGCATCAATTCTTCGGCGGTCTGCTTTCTTTATGGTCCAGCTCTCACTTCCATACATCACGACAGGAAAAACCATAGCTTTGACTATTCGGACTTTTGTTGTCATACTTTTCTTCAAATACCCACTTAGTTCACTGGATGAACTGAGGCCAGTCACTGTTTCTCACTTTAATTCATCTACTTCACAGTGTTGTCAGGATAAAATGAGGTGGATAAGATTCCTATGATGTCCTAGCTCCTAGGAGGAAAGGCAAGATACTGTAGAATAACAAGTTTATTTTTTTGTGCTGGGGGAAAATTATTATTTAGCCCATTCAAAACCTGTATTTTAAACATGTGAGTCCCATTTTAATGCTATGTTATTTTGGTTAACCAAATAACTTTAGGTAGTTGCTATATGCCCCTCAGTTTTGCTTGAGGAAATAACTGTTCTTAAATACCATCTCTTATAACCAGTTTATATTCAGATATTGCTGCAAGTGATTTTTCCTATACAAAATTGTTTTTCCTCTAAAAACTGCATGAATTTCATATGCCAGAGCATGAAGTGTAACAAAACAAACACATCTTTTTCACCGTATATTTAGGAAAGCTTACTCAGTGGTCATGTGTGATGAACTGCATGCAGTTTTCGTGCATTTCCCACATAAGTAGGAATATGAAAATAGACATAACAACTTCAAAAGCAACTGTTAAAAGACACTTGTGGGCAGCCGGTAGGCTAAATAGAGCAAGGTTTCAGTGAAGCCTGGGGGGGGGGGGGGGTATGCCTGCTCCCAAATTTTTGCACCTCCTTGCTCCCTTTCCTTCTAAATATGTTGGAAGAAAGAAGCAATTTCTTCCTGATCCAGCATGAGAAGGAGCTATCTGAGTGGAGGTCGGTGAAAGAGTTCATCCAAACGTCTTGGATATGAGAGCTTCCTCTTTGTTCCTCTCCTTCATTGGTAGGAAAGAGTATCCAAGACTTAGAGCAGTAGTGGGAAAGGTTTTTATGACTACTACTTAAAACAGTGGCTTTTGTTGCCGAACACATCTTCTGAATACATTATTTCCAAGAAAGATTTCTGTTTAAGAATACTTAATCTTGATGCAAATCGCTTGTATGTATATTAATAATGAGAACTTCAAACATTTAAAGCAAAACTCTACTTCCTTTTTATTACTAGCGGTAAGGATCAGATCCAGCAAATACTGAACTGTGCTCATTCTTGGGGAGAACTGCCTCTGTAAGAAGAAACATGATAGGAGTGGTGACTTGATTGGCAGCACAGGATGACTCTACTCTCACTATCCCAATAAATAAGTCTCTGATAAGATGCAACACATATTTGTTCGCTATGATCAACAATTGCTGTATTTCCTCAATATTTCCTTTCTGCATGACTAACATATGATGAAACTAAGAAAGATGATATTCAATGCAAATGTTATGACCGCCCAATTTCACTGTACAGACACAGAAAATTTAGTCTGCATTAACTCTTCCTATCCGTGTATGGCATTTTCATGTTGTTTCTAGGATTTTCAAACCAATGGGTTAAATTCCACTCTTTTTAATGAAGAATTTAATGGTGATGAATTTGCAAGCTCTAGGTGGAGGGGGAAAGAGAGCAATAGACTATAGGACTAATGGTCTTTTGTTTCTAACCATTGTCACCTTCCTCTAGAATTCTAGCTCTCCTTCCCCAATGTGCTTTCCACCATGTCCCTGTAGCCAGTTGCTAATGAACAGCTTCAGTTTTAATGAGCTTTTTTGTGTCTTGACTGCTTCTCTGGATTTGCGTGGCTGAGCAATATCCTAACATGGATCCCGAGACTCTCGGTGTGCAGCACCCAACATGTGACAGAAGCAGGGTTGTCCAACTTCAATAACATGGTCATTAGCGGCAACTTTGGCATTTAGTGGGTTGATTTGGTGACAAAAAAGAACATATTGCAATGAGAGAAGTAAAGTAAGCAAAATGAAGGGAAAAACAGCAACCCTATCATTAAAAAGAAATAGCTCATCTTTGGAAGTCAGCTAGACTGTAAAATGGAGTTACCGATATGTAGGATTCCTTCAGGTTTCCTTGCAGTGTTTTCAAATAAAGGTTCAGGTGGCTGTAAAACTTATGTTGAAATTTCCTTTGCAGTCACTTGGGCAAAGGACAGTCATTCAAACAATGTTCTGATACCAATGTACTGACCTTGTTTTTGTTTTTGCCTTGGAAGTGTTTTGACTCCTTTTACTGTGGTCTTGACATTAAGAAGAGATAAGAGATAAAAACATGCCTCAGTTGTGCCTACAGGTGGATTTTTTTTTCATGCTCTGTCCCATGGGTACCCAAGCTCCCCATGTCCTTTCTGTAATAAAACGGAGGATTAAATAATAATAATCATATTTAATTTCTATGGACAGCCACTCATTCATTTTTATAACTTGGTATGCTTTCATAACTTAGCATATTTGACAGGTTGGCTGCAGGGGAGCATGAATTAACCACATTTGGTATTTCTATGTGCATACTGGTGGCAATTGACTTGGCTATGTGTTACAGTGACTTCAGAAAGTCTCTATAGGGGCAGGGTGAGATGATATGTGCATGCTAAATGTTGTCTTTTATGGTAGTAGGCATTGACTACAATGTTTGCAAAGGAATCATGCATAGAATATGGACTAATGTTGCCACATCTGTCCTTATTACTACATGTTATTTTACACTGATGCAAGGTTATCTTCCCAGATCCTGAAAAAGTTACATTTTAGACTGCAACTTCCAGAATCCTCTAGCCATCGTGGCCAGAGGGACTTGTAGTCCAAAAGAGCTGCGAACTCTGTGTCTACCTTATCCTGCTCACTTTGGCATGAGTAACAGGATTAATTATTACATTGCTCATAGCTGCAGATGATTCTACTAATGCTTATAGGTGTACTGTTCTAGTCCAATTCAAATTCACATTTGAAAGGGAATGTTTTCTGTTATTTTAGATTTCTAATATGCAGTATAAACACATGGATGATTTATTCTTTTTCATATCTTCTCTATCTTCCACAAACTGCTTTCTTGTGATGAACAATTAACATATGTCAGTTGTCAGGAAAAAAAATGTAGTGGAGGATAATTAGGAAACTGGCAGTGATTGTTTCTTATGAGAACGTACTCTGCACAAGCAGGGTGCCTAACTGCACATTATTCACACTTTCAAAATAATTGTATTAAAGTTATCTGACAGCAAGCTGTGGAATAAAACTGAATTACGTACATTTGTAATATTTTCCTGCTTGAGACTACTGTTTTCCATTCATGTCCAACTGTGCACATATTTTACTGTGATTACATATGTTTTTTAAAAAATCAGCATTTGGCTCATTTGGAGCATCAGAAATTTCACATTTTGCAGTTATAGACCAAAACTAATTAAACAAATAACAGCATCCCACTTGAGATAATTCTGTGGAAGGGGGAGAGGAGGCTCCAAGCACTATCAGTCACTATTCTGCCATTTCGTCCTTAGTGGATTTCCCCCCTGGAAATATAGCTGGGAAAATGATGGTGGGTGAGATTCAGGAAAGTTATAAGATGAAGAGAATGTTGTGTGGACCACCCATAAAATTCTCTGTACGAGGCAGGGAGATCACTTGGTATTAGCCACATCTGTAATTAATATTAGAGGGCATAAAGGTTTTAATCCACGGCACACTTCTTTAGTAATAAGTTCACATTGCCATTTGTTGGGTAAAATACAATAGGATTTGCCAGATGTCAACCTTTTGCTGAGTTAGATGCCAATCCTGTTTAGTTCATTTTGCACAATCAAATCTAGAGATAAAGTGTTGGCCTTGTATCTGCACAAATAAGATACCAGGCTCACCAAAAATATGTAAGCAATGATACATCTCCTTTGGTGGAGCAGAAAGCTGGGCTACTGCAGTCCCTGAGACTGAAGTATGGATGTTGCTGCTGTCTGTAGCTTAAATAGGTGACCTTCTGCAAGCCAGTCTCTGCCTCTCTCAGCTTCAAGCTTCCATCTACAAAAAGAGAATTACAACATGATATATAACACAGTTATAAGGATTACAATAACCTAATATATGTCAAGCATTTTTCCATGTTCCAAGAACTACATAAATGTTAAGTATTCTCACAGTGTGCTATGCCTACATACAGGAGTTGTTGCTGTGGTCTTATTTTGTTGAGTGTCTGGTTTGGGGAGTAATGTTCCCAAATATTTGGCTATAGAGAGTTTGTGTAACCGTTATGTCTGTAAGTACTTTGTGTGTCTTCATATTTAACACTGATTCCCAGAAGAGACATAGACCTGACGATTTATTCCTATTTTACCAAGACAACCAAGAACGCTGGATATGGCATAGTTCTCCTATACAGTACCTACTTGGCAAACACTGAGAAGACAAAAATGACTGGGATGAGGGGCAATTTCTTAAAAAAGGACTTTTACTCAGCTCTTCAAGCAGAGTATCTCCCACACCAGCTCACAACGAATCGTTTGAAATGGAAAAAAAAGAGCAGGCCCTAATCAGACACTGGTAGACTCTAGAACACAGACACAAAAGGAGGGAAGGAAGAAATAATTAAAGCTGCCCATGACTTCACAGATCAATACTAGTAATCACAGGGGCATAAGAGCCAGGGGCCATCTGGCAAGGGCTTCTGCAGGTCCCAGCAAATTAACAAAAGAAGGCAGGTGGTGGGTGAGAAACTAGAGGAAGGAAATGAGAGGCACAAAAGGTGTGGGTTATGCGTGAGAGGCAGTACAAGGCCACTCAGCGGGGTCGGGCAGCGAGGGGGGATGAGTCAGACCGAAGGGGGCTTCTCGGGCTATATAAAGGGAGGCAAGGGATGGCCGCAGCTCAGCGCCCGCCTGCCCGCCACAGGAGCGAGGCGCCAGGGGCCCCTCAGCAAACGTCTCCGCCGCCATGGGGCTGAAGAAGGAGCTGCTCTTGCTGCTGCTGGCGACGACGCTGCCGGCAGAGCGGAACTGCCAGGGCGCCCCGGAGAGGGTGGAAGCCGCCGCGGGCCTGGAGAGCCCGGGCAGGGGCGAGTACGGAGTGAAACTCTGCGGCCGCGAGTTCATCCGCGCAGTTATCTTCACTTGCGGAGGGTCCCGCTGGAAGAGGATCTCCGCCCCACCGCCGCGGGCAGGTGAGTAGAGAGCCGCGCAAGCTGGGCAATGGGCGGGAACACGGCGAGGTGGCGGCCGGCGCTCCCCCCCCCTTTTTTGTGTGCTTCTTGGCGGGAAATTCTCGTGAATTCCAAATGACTGGCACGTTTTGCGCTTTCTTGCTACTAAAATGTTCGCCGGTGTGTTTCATACTCCCATGTTCCTGCTCACAGGACGCAAAACTGGATCAAACTGGCATATGCTTTTTTTTAAAAAAAAGAATACATTTCACAGCAATTAAATCCAGCCTGTATATTTATTCACCCAAATAATTTCAAATTGTTTAATTTCCAACACCCCCAAATCAGTAGTTCCCTGTTTTCACGTAATAGCGTGGAAAAAAAATGCTAAAAACAGATTTTTGCTGATCACTCCTATGTGAAAGCTGTGTTCTTTTCCGTACCAGAGAAAGTTTTAAAATAGACAAGAGTGCTCAACCAAAGCATGCCAGGGAAAACTAGAAGGCGTCCCCCAAACAGTTTTCCAAGCTTTGCCCCGGTCCTACCCAGATTAACCAATTTCTCTCTGGCAAATTGCCCTGTTAATTAGCCATAAATAACTCCATAAACTGCATTTAAAATAAAATGGTACACAGTTCTTTTGGTGGATGGCTGAAAATGCTGCTTATCTGTTGGGAAGGCTTAAGAGTGGGTAGAGGAGGTAGAGAACAGGGGTTAAACGGATTAGAAAAAAGAGCAGTGAAACGCAACCAAGACATACATCGCAGAAGAAACAAGTGTGGGAAGGTCAACACTTAAATACCACCAAGGCTGAAACCAGGGCATGACAGCTGGGGCTTTGCCCTAGAGCAGTGGTCCCCAACTTTGGATCACCAGATGTTCTTGGACTGAAACTCCCAGGAGCCTTCACCACCAGCTGTCCTGGGAAGGATTTCTGGGAGTTCTAGTCAATATGAACAAGGTTGGGAATCGCTGTCCTAGGGCATCACTCTCTTCATTTCCCTTTATTTGAGAGGAAACTATCTTTCTGGGGGCAAGGGGAGCACACCATGTTCTGCTCTTTTTTTCCCTTGGTGAGACCCATGTCTCATGGTTGAGTGAGTGAGAGATGATGGAACAGGCACTATAGTTAAGTCTTCCCACATTTCTTTTGGGTCCCCCTTGGTGTCTTGCACTACAGTATCCGTGCTACTTCAGTTGGCTACATTGGAGGATAGCAATCTGGGGAATGCTGCTGAAAGTTACATTAACAGAAGGGCAAAGAGAAATGTATTTTGGGTTTGCTTGGTTTATGTAATTTAATTAGGCTAATTCAGACTCTATTATGAAACCACTGAGCTGTCTTCGAAAATGGAGATTCATGAGGAAATGATAATGTGATCTGAAATTGGGGTGGAGGGCACCTTTCTAAACAGCAGCGCTGCTGCATGTTCAGTATTGCAACTAGAAGCCACTTTTATACATTTCTAGCAAAATTTTAATATAACAGAGCCCCAGCTGTCCTGCCCTGGTTTCAGTCTTGGTGGTATTTAAGTGTGGGCTTGTTTCTTCTGTGATGTATGCCTTGCTTGCGTTTCACTTCTCTTTTCTAATCCTGTTCTCTACCTCCTCTACCCACTCTTAAGCCTTCCCAACAGATAAGCAGCATTTTCAGAAAAGAACAAACTTTTAATATTTTGTGCATGTTTTGCCTTCACCTCTACCCTGCTTCTTGATTAGCAATATCAGACTTTTGCTGTTACTTTTGACTCGATACCATTCTTCAAATAAAATCCAAAGCTTTAGGACATGCAACAATTGTATTTGCTCAGATCTCTGAGCAAATACAACTATTTTTGTATTTTAAAGTCTTTATTAGTGAAAAACCCAATTACAGTATTTAGTAGTGGGAAAATATATTTGATGTATGGGACTTCTTGGAGGATAGAATTGTTTGCTAAGAATTGCAGTTCAGGTGATACACTATGTTTCTACAGCAAAATTACACAAGTGTGTATAGTAATTCTGAAAGAAACTGACATGCAGGTATATTAGCTGACATTTTTCACTGGGTACACTTCTGATGGTTTCCTTTGTGTCTTAACAGAGTTTATTCAAACTGGCAACGATAATGAACTGGAGAACATTAAGTTGCAGTCTGTTTTGGATCCGAAACTGGACCAGCTACAAACTATCAGTCAATCAGCTCAGCAGCAAACACTGAAAAACATGTTTAATTTATATAACGATAATGAATATGTCCCTACTTCTGATAGCTTCAGTGAATACATTAACCAAGCAAAAGATGTGCCGAAAAGCAGAGATGAAACAAGGCTGGCTAATTCCATGGGATCAAATTACTTTCTTTGGGGAAAATACCCTCGAAAAAAGCGTGATTCTTCTCTTGGGGTGGCTGGATTGTGCTGCAAATGGGGCTGTACCAAAACTGAGATTAGTACACTATGCTGAGAATACAAACATTTAATGGTTCAACAACCGGAACTCACTGTTTAGTAGCACTGTAACTACCTGAATACTTTATTTAGAGGATAGTTGATTGTTAATGTTGTCTCAGTATCTGATCTTGTCTTTGTGTTCCTGTTACTATTCAAAACACTCAACACACACAGTCACTCAAAATGTGTTTTGTGTTCATATTTTTTCAAATTTTCTAGAAGTATACAGTTTCCCCACTTCTCATGATTGTAAACTTATGCTGATATTTGCACCAGAACATTATATGGAGAAACTCAAAGTGTTACATGGTATTGGAATTCTGTGTATATCAAATTAAGCTGATCAAGGTCAACAGCGTAAGCTAGCATGATCAGTGGCTCTCCAGAAGTCTGAGATAACATCCTTGGACTATGGGGGACCAGGGGGGGCACATCTCCCATTGCCCCCATCCTCCTAAATGTTCTTACATGAAGTATGGCTTTTAAAAAGTGAAACATCCTGGCGGGGGGTAGGGATGCTAGGCCCCCTGAAAATATGGCTAAATTGTCTTTTTGCTTTCCCTTCAGATGATGAAAGAGACTTAAGCCCTTTTCCCAAGATTTTTTTTAATTGGGGTGTGTGGAGTATGCTGGAGGCCACAGGCAACACATTCCAAAGCATCGTGGCCACCACCAAAAAGGCCTGGTTCCTGGTGTTTCCCCCCCTCCCCCAGTCTTTCTTTGGGGTGGCCACCCCAACAGTGCTACCTGGGAAGAATGGGTTGCCCAGCTAGATGATCTTAAGTAGAAATGCTACAACAGGTAACAAGATCCCAAACCATTAAGAAAGAAAGCCTCTTTTGGGTTCTAATTCAGGTTTCTGGAAAAAAATTAATCCTTTAAAAATCACTCAAAAAAAAGCAGACACAACACAACAGAGAACTAGTCTGCCCCAAAGCCAAATAATGAATAAATACACAAGTAAATAGCTAAATAGAAACACAAATTTACACAGTGCCTTTGTCCAAAAACAAGAAAAGCAAACAAGAAAGTAAATTAAGGCAAAAAACACTCCCTCTAACAACAGCTTCCCCCCCAAAGGTCTTCTTTTGAGTCCAGAATAATCCAAAAAAGGAAAGGGAACAAACAAAAGCAAGCACAGACCAGCTGCTTGTCAGCAGTGAAAATTAATCTAAAGGAATGGTAGGGGGGCAAGGAGTGTCTTAAAAAAATCAGGAAAAAAGGCCTAACAGGTCCAAAGAATCCAAGGTGGAAGCACAACCAAGCATACATAGGGTTCAAGTTCACAATCAGTGTTTTTCTGGTGGATGCCCATGGTCAGCTGACATCTGTATAGTTTTTCAACCAGAAAAAGGAAGTTATGCAATATTTTAGATCCTGCTACACTATGGCAATGTTAGTTCATAGGGCAGAGAGCATTATAACAATATGTAAAAATTAGATGCAACTGCGAGATGTCTGAAAATATTTAAGAGGGTGATATATGTTGGTACAGCAGTATACTGTATATTGAGTGCCTAAGAAACTTTGTAAGGGTTTCTGTAATAAAATACAAACTCAATAACATCTCTTAGCTCCCTGCTTCTATTGTTCAGGTTGCAGTTTTACCAACACTTGCCACCTTTTGCTTAGCTCATCTGTGTTATGTTGAACATATGAAAAGTAATTTCAAAATTTAACATAATGGGCCATCATCTAGCTAAAACTGACATTTAAAGAAACCACAGAAACTAATTTCAGATGTATTTTATGATATACACCCTATAGAAATAATGCAAACACTGAAAAAAACCCTGCAAAGCAGCAGCTGTGATTTTAAAAATAACTTTAATCAACAGCAGCAATCCTTTAGGCATGCAATTTTTCCATTGCAACTCACAGCAATATTTGGTACCACGATAAATTAAATGTTGGGAAAAAGTGAATGGCAACTGCGGGGGAAAAAAAGGCATCGTTCAGAGTATTATGTTAAGTATTATCATGACAGAATTATATATGGGTTCTTTCTGAAGAGCACTGATTTCAAAAGAGCATTAGAGTTGGCTTTATTGCTTCTTTTGAAACATGTACAATTAACATGGATAGTTCTAATTAACAATTATGAAATGACAGTTGAAATTAAGGTCCCTCCCCAAGCAAGCCCAAAGGGACATGTGAGGATGTCTGCAAGGACATGAAAATTTAGAGTCTATGAGAGCTTTTGCACCCTTTCAAAGATGCTTCTGAAGATAAGAGCATCTCTTCTGTAGCAGCATGTGATGTGGGGTTAAGAAGTCTGTAGCATGAAAGATACCTTAGGAAGATCTTAATGCAGAACTGGGAACATTTTGGCCAAATTCACAAGGTTGAGTGCCAAATTTTCAAATCTCTTATTTTAAAATTTAAAGTACCCCACATTAACACACTGATCATATTTTCATTTTTCAAACTCTGAATCATATAAGGCTTGACTGTGAGTGTGAGATTCCAAATAACAAGTTTCTAATATATTCTGTATCAGTCCAGAGACAAAAATCCAAAGACAGAGAATGGAGTTTCACTTGTGGAACGGAGATTTCCCATCTATCCCTTTCCATGGCAGCTCCTTATGGATGGGAGACCCCCAGAACAGCGTATGTATGACACAGATGGCTGAATATCAGAAAAGTGAAGCTGGGTCATACTAAAGACCTCTGGGATGTCCAATGTCGATAAATGAATGCAGTCCTACCATGTTGCTTTTTGTTCCTCAGCAACAGATATATCATGTTAGAGACAATACAGAGTAGGACCCTGTATCCACGGGATCAGTATCTGCTGATTCACTTATTCATGGGCTGAAAGTATTAAAAATACTGAAAGAAAAATCCTATATATACATTTAAAGATGAAGTTACCAGAATTGGCCACAAGAGGCAGCGAGAGACCATGCTAGGCATAGCGGTCACTATTAAAATAGCATTCACTATCTGTATTTTCCAGCATCTGTGGGGGCGGGGGGCGGGCATGAAACCAATACCCCACAGATAGGAAGGTCCTACTATATAGCTATCATGGTGAATCACTATTGATAGTCTTACCTGCTTAGAATTTGTTTAACCTCTTTTATTTAATCCTTTTTGTCTAAGCCCGTTTAAAGTCCTTCAAGCTTATGGCCATCCCTACTTCTTCTGGTAGTGAACCATCCACTTCGATTATGTACTATGTGCCATATGTTAAAGAGCTCCATGATGTTCTTCTTGGTGCTTTCCCCCCATCAGTTGCCCAAAATTCGTTGCTCGGTGTAGTAAATTGCACTAGCATAGATCCACTGAATCAATAAGAGTTTATTGCTTCAATTCCTCTGTAAGTTTGACTGATTCAAATGGGCTTACCCTAACTGTGACTTGCAATGCCAAAGTGAGTCGCAGTTAGAATAGATCCATTTGAATTAATAGAAACTCATGAAATTCCCATTGATTCAATGACCCCACTCTAGTGCAATTTGCTGCATTAAGAAACAGGATTTTGACTAATGTAACTTTTATTTCTAGGGCACTTACCCCTTCCCCTTGATCATTTGCTTGCCCTTTTCTGCACTGCCCCAAGCACTGTGATATCCTCTTTTAGACACAGTGACTAGAAATATACATAGTGTTCTAGTGAAAGTCTTGCAACACTTTTTCATGCACTAAAACCCACTTCATCTGATATAATTGCATGTAATGGACTGCAGTCTGTGAAAGCTTACATGTCAGCTTATTAGTCTTTATGCTGTTTTATTTTGCAATAGACTAGCATGGCTATCATCTCTCCGGGAAAATACTGAAATGGGATTGCAACACAAATCTGTACACAGTCTAACAATACTGATAATTTTATTTTTGATTTTTTTTTGTTTAATTGTGTTCTCATGGAATCTCGCTTTTTGGGAGCAGCTGTACAAAGGATCAACATTGGCATTAAGTAGTACACCATATGCCCAACATGTCTTTTGTGGTCAGCCACTCAGTGTGGAGAGGGAAATGAACATATGTGAATTAATGGATGTGCCCTTTCACTTGTGCGACTGCTTAACTGAATCAAAGTCAAATGCTTTAACAGGTTTTACATAGAGTCTGCCTGAATTTCCAGATAGATCTCTGAGCTAAGGAACCTTGCTGTGAACTAACAACATGGAAAAATATTAACAGCAACAAAGCATCTCTCTTGGTAGAGCACAGTCCTACACAGAATTAACTTACCTAGAAATGAGCCCACTGAGCTTTCACAGACAATACTTCACAAGCAATTGTTCAGAGGACTGCATTCTCAGAGGTTCAAAACGAAGTTTTAAAAAAGAGTTTAAATTTATCTTCTGGGAAATTAGAATGTAAGTCAATTGTATTATACCATTATCAAGCAAAGACACGTTTATTCAACTTGAAAAAGATACCACCACTATGGAAGATCTCATCATTGGATTACACAACATTCCCTGAGTTTCCCCCCCACCTTTCTAGGAACATGATATCCTTGATCAGAACGACAACTTTTGACTCCTGTTAGGCTACTGCATTTATGTATCTTGACGTCTCATATTGCTTCAAAACAGGGGTGGGCAGGTATGGCTCTCGAGATGTTTTGTGCCTCCAACTCACATCAATCCAAGCCAGCACAGCCATTGGTAAGAAATGATGAGAGATGGAATCCAAAAACATCTGGAGGATCACATTTGCCACTCTGATTTAAAGCAGGAACCTAAACCAAACATATAACCTACAAAAGACAATTACTGTACAACACATTTTAAAATCAGCATCAAAGCAATAGACAAATGTACAACTCAGCTGACCAAAGTGATTTAAAAATACACAATGTGAACCTGTCTCAAAAATGCCAACAATTTGAAACTTCTTTTCTACTGAAGTGTGACGTACTACTATAAAATAAAACTACCTACATGTGCAACCCAAGTTCTGTTCCCCAGGTTGTTTGGCATAATTATCTGGTATTAAAAACAAAAGAAAAGGGTTTGCCTGAGGAAAGTCTGCAAGATACTGGGATCCTTCCCATGCAGGGCTTCCTATCCACTCTTACAAACAGAATCACTTTGCCTAGATAAGGATTTCCCAAAGTGTATGTGAAACACACTCCTGCTTGTAAGACAGAATGAGGAAGTTCTTAACATGTGTGGAAGGAGTGCTTCACATGTACATTAAGACCACTAGATCTGCTCTGATGCATATGCTGCAGCCCACAGTGGCACAAAACAGACTGGCGCTCACAGGGTAAACATTTGCTACATTTTGAGGTACTTTTTAATCCTATACAAAACTCAAATCACTGCACCCTCCATATCTGAGGTAGATGGGTAAAACTGACAAGGGGTTAATGGTACAGTGCCATCTAAGCCACATTCTGCCAAACATTAAATTATATTTTCAAGTTTTCATTAAGTCTCCATAATGTACAGAAAAGGCCTGCCACCAAATTTAGTCTTCTGTTTTTAGACAGTGAGCATCTCACTTGACCAAAAATTTGCTTTTTGGGAACCCCTAGACTCTAAGCCCCTGAAAAAAGGCTTAGTGGGCAAGCAACAGAACAGGTGAAATATCCAGTGCATTTCACTTCCATTTCAGCTACTACGACTAAATCTGAAGCTGACAGCCAAATCGATCAAGAGAAGATCCTTTGATGTTTCTACTGCTCTCTGCTACCCAACTTCTTCTATTGACAAACATGAATTTGTGCCACTGAGTCTGCTATGAAATAAGTTGCAGTGACTTTTACATTTATTTCAGAATTTAGATTGGAAAAAAAGCAAGCAAGCAATATCACATGGTAGCAGTTTCACATAGTTCAATTACCCAGAAACTTAAAAGATAAAAGCAGATGAGCTATGGCTGTTCTTAGGGACATAAGAGATTTGTTCTTTGTACTTGAATAGCCCACCCTGTCAAAATTAAGGTAACTGCAGCATCTAGAAGGGGTGGCAAGGATAAGAAAAATTTTGCATCTGGAACGTCTCAAGCTACTTTGAAATTATTTCAAAGATTTGTACTTCAAAAGACAAGGACAATGCTTAACACATGCAGAATACACGTGTAGGAAAATAGTCTACTATATAATTGTTCATTTAAAAACACAATTTTCAGTAGGTGTTTTAAAAAAATATACATACATATACTTATTTGTTCCCTTTTTGTCAAAATATTTACAGTACATCACACTCCCTCAACAGGCACCTCTGCTTCTATTGCTGGCCAGTAACCGGCTCAGGCAGGCACATCAAAAGTCTACCAGATATTTAGAAATGCATTGACTTGTTCTACCTTGTTTTCCCGAAAATAAGGCAGGGTCTTATATTAATTTTTGCTCCAAAAATGCATTAGGGCTTATTTTTAGGGGATGTTCTATCTTTTTCAAGTACAAGAATCTACATATATTCAAATACAGTCATGTCATCTTTTGGTTGCTGCACAATGGTGGAGGTGGGGGTTTCACTTAACTAGGCCTTATTTTTGGGGGTAGGGCTTATATTACGAGCATCCCGAATAATCACACTAAGGCTTATTTTCAGGTTATGTCTTATTTTCGGGGAAACAGGGTACTATCAAGCCATTATGCCTTGACAATATAAAAATCACAAAAACCCATTCAAAAAACACAAGCCCTTGTGCAAAAATGCCAAGCTGATCTTCATTCACTGCAGAACAGGCTAACATATATTCTAAAGATTCTTTATGCTGCTGTTAACTGCTGCTCAAGCTTGCTCTGTGATGGGTTTGCAGAGCTCGACTGCTACTGCTCTGCATCCTCTGTATTGAATGGTTGCTGTGTTTTAAGCAATCCCTATGCTGGCACCACAGTGAAGTATTCCCCATGACATAAAAGTCATATCCAGCATCAGTCAATGTTATTTCCTCCTCTCACCATGACTGTTAGCTGTTTTGCATCTCTGTTGTATTTGGCTTACCTTTCTCTTAAAAAAAACTGTCCGAGAATAGCGTAGCCACAAACAGCTAAAAATGTACAGTTAACAAAAATGAGCACATATCTAAACTGGTGTAAATCTGCCTTATCCTTGTACATGGGGGGGCGCAAGAGGATGAACCCATGCACAGTGCTTAGGATGGTGACTGGTACAGGATGAATCTGGACATCCCATCTCCACTGTTAAGATTTCTGTGCATTAACACTTGCTCCTCTTCAAAATGCTACAACTGGGAATGTGAAGTAACATCTCAGATGTTTTAAATTGTCTATTAATTCTATAGGTCAGCTTCTGCTTCAGAAGACAATCCTATTCATGACTACTCAGAAGAAAGTCCCACGGAGATCAACAAGGCTTACATACTGGTTAAGTAGGAACAGGTATGTAGGTACAATCCAAATAATTTTCAACACAGTGATGATCCAAATCCTGCTCATCATTCAGTCTTCTCAGTCTTCTACTGTGAAAGGTTGGCAGTAGTTTTTTAGTTTTCTTTTTGCAACTGCCCTGTTACATAAACAATGGTGATGATGACTGAATGTATTTTACACTCTTTTGCTTAAAAAAAAAGCAACCCACAATTCCTCCTACTATCAAAGTGCTTTTCATTGGTACATCATGGCATCATTCCCAATGAAAAAATAACCACAGCTCTCCACTATCACACGGAAGTTCTAGTGTGACGATTTCTTTCCTCCAGTCCCCGTCCTCTTAAAGATGAATGTTCATGGGGAAGCCAATCTGCAATCACCAACGAACCAACAGCATTTGCTAGGCAGGTCAATGTGTCCCTCTGGATTAATTTCAGTATGTTCAACTACCCATGCTCTCTTTTATGACATCCACTCTCACAGCAAGATCTCGAAAGGAGGGTCGCAGGCTTGGATTATTGTGCCAGCACTCTGTCATGATGGCATAAACCTTGGCAAGAGAGAAGAAAGCAATATGAGAGAAGCAGAAATAACCAAGTGTTCGGCATCATAAGCAATTCTTACACTAGTTGAGGCCAGTAGAGTCTTTGGCAGCAAATAATATTAATACTTCCATGCAATCTGTGTATCATAAGAAGCATGCCCTGGTCCTCACTTTTTTACCATATACATCTCTTTTATAGGAATAAAATTATTCCTTTCAGCAACTAAAACTAAGAATGAGTGAAAGTTACCAATCTTCCCCACAGTGGCAATTCAGAGTGACACAACTGCACTATTACTGACTTTCCCTCAGACTTCCCAATAAGCTTCCTGATATTTGACATAAGTGTTTGGGGTTAACTCAACTGTGTTCATTTTAGTAACTTTACTGCTACAGGTGTTGTAATAGGCTGAACCTATAACATTATTGACTTCACAAACAAAGAACTAGGGTTAGTAGAGAGCTATCAACATTTACTGTGGAAGGGCCAGGCAATGGTAATTTTCCCAAGCACTGATCTTTAAACATTTGTCTTGCAAGCTATTGCAGGGAAGAAACACATCCGGTATTTGTTTTTACTCAAGAATGAGTCACTCACTGAGATGAATTTAGTACAAGTTTGTCAATACCTTAATGCTGTTTTAAATAAAGAAGATTTATTTATTTTTCATTTTAGTTCTTTCAACATGTACTTGTTTTGTTTTGCATAGTGTTCTTGAAGGGATTCTTACTGTTACTAAATACTAGAACTATTCCTTTGCTACTGTAATATGGCATAACCAAAAGACATGAAAGATAAGCGGGCTATCTGGGGATTTAACAGAATAGTCACTGTATTTCCAACACTTAACATGAACAGAATAACGGAATTACTGTGAGATGATTCTTTTGTATTTTGGAGAATTAAACTCAGTTCCATAGACCGGACTCATGCAAATCAAGTTTGAAGGTACTATCTTATATGAGAGCCTCCTCCCAACATAACATAGGATTTGGAAGATACTGATAACTCCAAATTGACACAACTCTACACTTAACATCTCTCTTAAAGATGGAAGAGCTACATAATAGGACATATTATACCTGTGAAATATAGTGAATTTCTGAGGTACAAAGTATTAGCTTGGAGAGTTTACAACAGTAAAGGAAACTGAAGGTCTTTTCCAGGGCTGCTTGGGTTGTTTACTTGTTTAGGTAAACAGGGAAGATAAGTTATAAAGTTTTAAGAGAAAAAACAACAGAAAAAGGTAAGTTGAGAAATACAGTGAAGGCACAGAATAAAGCATAAGGGGAAAGAAAATGAAAGTATAACTCTTTCCTAGAAAAAGGTATGAATAAGACCTGGGTGGAGTCTGCAACACCAGGCTTACAAAGGCAAAACTCTACGTCACAAGAAGGACAACAGGAAAAGTTAACCCTTTATTGGATGTCTTCTCTCATGAAAATGGGAACAAATGGCTTCAAATCAGCCACTACCCTGAAGAATGCCATCAACCTTGTGATAACAGTATGTGAAACTGAGCTGCAACCACCTCCTGACAAAACTGCCTGGACTGCCATAAAAGACTGCAATGGAATCTAGTTCACACGACTAAGATAGATGTTATGTGACCTTAAACCTGCATTACATACCTCTGATGCTATTTCATTCCTAGACAGAGTACATGAGAACCTGCCTCCACTGACCAACTTTGTTGTTGTTGTTTAGTCTTTAAGTCGTGCCCGACTCTTTGTGCCCCATGGACCAGAGCACGCCAGGCCCTCTTGTCTTCCACTGCCACCCAGAGTTGGATCAAATTCACGTGATGTGACCTTAAACCTGCATTACATACCTCTGATGCTATTTCATTCCTAGACAGAGTACATGAGAACCTGCCTCCACTGACCAACTTTGTTGTTGTTGTTTAGTCTTTAAGTCGTGCCCGACTCTTTGTGCCCCATGGACCAGAGCACGCCAGGCCCTCTTGTCTTCCACTGCCACCCAGAGTTGGGTCAAATTCACGTGGGTAGCTTTGGTGACTTTGTCCAGCCATCTCGACCAACCTTAGCCAACACTAGAGCTCAGTGTGAAGCAGACGTATCCTCTAATAATGCCTAGGTTCTCCATCAATGGTGAGAGAGTCATCTCACTTCCCTGAATTCTGTTGTTTGGGTACTGGGCCTGCAGGGGACCCCAAGTCCATATGACAGCTGCTTCTACTTCCTCTCACAAAGGTCCTTTAAGAGTGCAGTGACAGTGTTGGGTATTTCTTGGCTGGATGAAGAACACTGCAATCACAAGTCTGCTCTGGTATCTCCTTAATTTTTCCATTATTCGTTTTCCAATCTTTTGGAAGCATTGCAAAGATTAGGTCATAATCAACATTCCCTCTAATTTTCATCCCTTCTGCACGGGGGGCTCTCCCATCTGCATGTGGAGGGTGGGGTTTCATCTGAAACCTGGAAGTAAACAGGCATCATCAACACCGGCTGCCGCTGTGTGGCACCAATGGAACCCGGCATGTGCATGCACCTTAAAGGGAATGTTGGTCATGATCTACACTATTGTCTGGGTTCTCTCCCAAATAAGAAAGTGCACCATTTGATTTCATAAGCCCTGCATATTGGAGGGAATGAGAAGACCAGCTCATTCGAAGAAACACTCCTGAAACAAAACACCTGGTTTATAAAGGATTTAAGTGCTAGAATTCCAAACCAGAACCATCTTAACAGCAATATTACTGTTTACAAGTAGCTGTTTGCCAACATCCTTTGTAGATTAAAAGGAGCCAGCAGATTCCAGACAAAAATAACAGATCAGTAAACTTCTAGGCTGCCTTAAAGGCTGTAGTAAAATGCTACAATCTTAAAGGTAGTTATAGGAATTAAGCACCATTTTGGCTTTATAACAAGTACTGTACACTAGATTTAAACAGAAACATCTTTTATAAAAAGAACAGGCTCTATCACAAGAGCAATTATTGAGTGCACTCATAAGAGAGGGTATTTCAAGAAAACTCTACGTTTCAGTACCTCATCAGGGCATCCATCAGGTCTCAATAGCCTTCCATTATTCTTCAAAAGTTCTATTAAATGGAACACAATCTGGTTTTGCTTGTCATTACCAATCATGCGCATGAATTCCTAAAACAGAAATTCAAAATTAAATGTATATGTTTGTTAAAAGTTCACCAATAACAAAACATGAACAGCACCCAAAAATTTCAAAACCTCTATAGCAAGTGGTGTCCAACCTTGGGCCTCCAGATGTTCTTGGACTTCAACTCCCAGAAATCCTGGCTAGCAGAGATGGTCGTGAAGGCTTCTGGGAGTTGCAGTCCAAGAACATCTGGAGGCCCAAGGTTGGGGACCACTGCTCTATAGTAACAAAAGATAGTAATAGAAAATTGCTCTTCTTCAAATACCCCTCCATGGGAGGAAGGCAGCTGAAGTAGGTTACATCCACAGATTCCAGGGTATATTTAAAGGTTTAAATAAAGACCAAGACTTCTTAGCTCTTGACATATATTTCTAAACATTACAATGTTGTGTATAGGCAAAAATATTTACTCTGGCCTCAAACTCCAAGTCGATTTAGACAAAAAGAGCCACTTCACAAACATGTTATCTTTGTAGAAATCTATGTTTATCTGTAGACAGTTAATACTCTGGCTATGGCCAAGACATTTATGTTATCAACACTCTCAAAATTCAATACTAGGGTTAATAATGCTACTGTCATTCGTTCCGCCATACTAACTACAACTACACAATTGTATGTAAAGTTGTCTGAGAACTCTTTATCACTCCCAGAAATGGGGCATGTTTTGTTCTGCAGAGGGATAATAGAAAACAGGGCCACATCTCTGTTGCTGATTAAAAAATACAGTAACCCTATTTGCCCTATGCATAGTCTGAAATGTTTCCACCAAAGCTGGGAATTGTATTTTACAACTTTAAAAGCTATTAGCCAGAAATCTATTGGAGATTTAAGCATGCTTAAGTCAAAACTGAGTTCATTACTGGTAAACTGCTGTTAGCTAATGAACTGCTAGTTGCATGATGATTTATGTCCCAGACTGTACAACAAGGATGTGCCTAGTAATGACTTAACTTATACACATGTAAACCAGCAACACAATTCTGGCTGATGCTTGCAATTGCTTGGTTTCCTCTTCATGATCCATACCCTTTGTATTGCATATTAGATTATAAGCCTAGAGGATGATCTCATTTGTTACTGAAAGCCTTTTTAGTAGGAGCTTGAAGAAAATAAACAAGCATATACTGAGTCTGAATTTATTCACATCATTTTCCACAGTGCATCCCAGGCACATTTTCCTCTACATGATGCTCTTAGAAGTTCCATTCAACCCTGGAATCTCTTATATAATTTAAAACATAAACGGATAGGAGATATAGGGTAGGATAACATGCTGGCTCAGTATCTGCCATGCACAGGCAAAAATCTATCCATCTACTAACCGCTGGGGGACTTTTGTTCTTGTCTATGTATGTGAAAAGTTCATACAGGACCACTCCAAAGCTCCACATGTCTGAGGCCACAGAAAACTTGTTGTCCATCAGTGATTCTGGAGCATACCTGTAACACAAAAAATGAGTACATTTTAAATGCCATTTAGATTATGCTCTTAACTATCTTTTATTATTTATTTATTTAAAATACTTTTACCCTGCCTTTCTCCTTGAAAAGGACCCAAGGCGGCTTACAACAAAGAAATACAACATTTAAAGTTGAAAACAATGAGTATATAATGGTGTTTTAACATCATTAAAAAGCGATATTTAAAAATTATGAACAATGAATAAGGAGGCATCTTACATCAATTAACAAGCAATATTACGGCAAAGATCAATAAGTATACAATTTTTTTTTAGAAATGTCACTCTGCGAGGAAAACACTAATACTAACAATCCAGTCAAAGCAGGAATGCATAAAAATCTATCTAAAAACCACACAGTTAGCTGGTTATTGAGGGAAGGCTTGCCTGCAGAAAAAGGCCTTTGCCTGCTTGCGTAAGGACAGCAAAGATGGGGCCAGCCTGGCTCCTGTGGGAGGGAGTTCCAAAGTCTGAGAGCAACAACAGAGAAGGTTCTCTTCCGTGTCCCGATCAGATGCACCTGTGAAGGTGATGGGACCAAGAGAAAGCCCTCTCCTGATGATCTTAACACTTGAGCTGGCTCATAATGGGAGATAGTCTTTGAGATAGCTTGGAGCCAGATCGTCTAGGGCACTGGTTCTTAACCTTGGGTTACTCAGGAGTTTTGAACTGCAACTCCCAGAAGCCTTCACCACCAACTGTGCTGGCTGGGGTTTCTGGGAGTTGCAGTTCAAAAACATCCAAGTAACAAAGGTTAAGAACCACTGGTCTAGGGCTTTATAGGTTATTTGATTTATGTTTTTCCTTTTTCCTTTCCATTTTGAACAGTTAATTATTGATGCTATATATTGATGTTATATTTAAATTGTTTTATTTTAAGTGTTGCTAGCCGCCCAGAGTGGTCAATTGATCAGATGGGTGGGATATAAACAAAATAAAATAAATAAATAAATTAAAACCAGCACTTTAAATTATGCCTGATAACTGACTGGCAGCCAGTAGAGCTGCTGTAACAGGGATGTTATGTGATCCTTGTAACCAGCCCCAGTCAGCAATCTGGCTGCTGCATTTCAGACCCACTGAAGTTCCTGACACTTTCCATCAGCAGCCCCACACAGAGCACATTACAGTAAACCTGCCAGAAAGTAACAAGGGTATGTATTATAGTGGCCAGATCAGATATCTCAGGAAACGGATGTAGCTGGCACAGAAGTTTTATACAGTGGTGCCTCGCTTAATGAGTGCCTCGTTTAGCGATGAATTCGCATAACGATGGTTTTTTAAAGAAAATAATATGCACCATTTAACGATGTTTCCTATGGGCGATTTTTGCTTAGCGAAGTTTGGGACCATGCTTCGCATAGTGAATGCGTTTTTAGGTCCCCTGCTTCACATAGCGATTTTTTTTTCATTTTAAAAAGTGTCTTAAAATGGTCAAAAACGGTTCTAAATGCTTGGATTCGTTAGAGCACCTTCTAGAATGGGTGCAAACTTAATTTGGCTTTGATCTGACTTTTCGTTAATTTTTGCTGAATTTTTTTCTCCCCCATAGGAAACAATGGAGCTGTCAAATTTTCCTATGGGGGAGAAAAAAATTCACAAAAAATTAACGAAAAGTCAGCAACTGTTCTAAATGCTTGGGTTCGTTAGAGGACCTTCTAAATTGTGTGCAAGCTAAGTTTGGCTTTGTTCTGAGTCTTCATTAATTTTTTGTGTTCAGCAAAAATTAACGAAAAGTCAGATCAAAGCCAAATTAAGTTTTCACCCGTTTTAGAAGGTGCAGAAGCTATTCCAAGCATTTAAAACCGTTTTTGACCCTTTTATGACACACTTAAATTTGCAAAAATTGACTTCGCTAAACCATTGAAAAGCATTGAAAAGGCTTCAATGCATTCCAATGGGGGAAACATTGTATCACATAACGATGTTTCCAATGGGTTTTTTCGCTTAAGGACGGTAATCCGTTCCTATTGGAATGGATTAACCGGTTTTCAATGCATCTCTATGGGAAAACGCGTTTCGCATAACGAAGTTTCCCATAGCAATGTTTTTTTTGGAACCAATTAACATCGTTATGCGAGGCACCACTGTATATGCAAATTCACTTCTGTCTACCACTAAGACCTGGGTATCCAGGTTCAGGGATGAATCCAGGAGAAATATACCATTATGGGCAGCTCCATTAGAAGCGTTCTATGATCCGGCAGGAGAACAAACGGGAGATATGCCAAGATATTAGATAGTGATTTTAATCTAAAGCACAAATTTTTTTTTTAAATGGGAATGCAATCTCATCCTGTACAGGCTTCATCCCTATTCCTTGATCTACCTTTCGACTAACCAGGAGCACTTATGTCTTATCTGGATTAACTTTCAGTTTATTCACCCTCATTCAGTCCACTACTGATAACAGACACTGATCTAGAGCCGATTTTTCACAATTATACCCAAAGTGACAAAGCTTTCCTGCAACAATGGTATTTTTATAATTTGGACAGGGAAGGAAACAGGAACATACCAAAATATAGGACTCTCCCCTGGTTCCTTTACTTTGTAGTATTCTTTATCCTGAGGCAAGACTTTAGTCAAACCGAAGTCTCCAATTTTAATTCTGTTTTCATTCTCCACCAAAATATTTCGAGTTGCTAGATCTCTATGAACATATCTCTTTGCTCCAAGATACTCCATGCCCTGAAATTTTCAAACAAAATTATGAAAGATAAGCTGACTGTTAAAAGTTAAAAGAGACCATGTGGAAGATTTTTTAAGCCATGCAAATGTTTGAGTGTCACAAATCTTTTTTCTTTCCCTTCTCAAAATTTAATGAACGAGCTTATGAATAAGACAATTAGTAACACTTCTCGCGGAAAGGACAATTCTATGCAACTACAACAAAATAAACGACAGGAAGTGATATGCCCATCTCAAGGAAGAGTGCTCCTTAAACTGGCCATATTATCCACTAGATGTCACCACTTTGATTACTGCTAAGTGAAAAGACCGTCTAAGCAGACAAACACTGTAGTGCTTAACCATACTTCATGGAGAACTGATGTTATAGCTCCTCAGCTACCATTCTGACGTAGAATGTCATATTTTCTAATCATCAGTGGCAGATTGAGTCCTAGAAAGTATTATTTTTTGTTACTGAAGTTATTATTTTTAAATTTTGTTTATTCAACTCCTTTGTTTTCAATTAGTGGAAAATTAATGTTACCAGTTCCAAACATTAAATTTCCTATTGTATGTTCCAGATATAAGCAGCAGGAGCTAAACCATGAAAGAGTTCCTCCTCCTATGATTTATCTCAACAGACACACCACTCTATTATACATACATTTTACAATTCCGGAGGGCATGTGATAGTGCACCATTAAGAAAGTTAAAGAAGCAAGGGATTGAGTGGTCTCTGGAATAAGAGACGTTTAAGAGTCTTATTGATGCCCAATAAATAAAACAAGAAAGTTCTCTCTTTAAGAATTACAATTATATCCATCCTTTTTACAGGCATAAATTGTGAAATTCAACTGCTATGTTGAAAGTAACTGAAAGTAATTACAGCTGACTATCTTATGTCTATTTATAGCAGGTGACCACTGCACAACAGATGGAGGGGGAGGAGATAAAACTCTTCCCTCTCTTTACCCTCTTCTTCTCCTACCATCTGTGCAAACTTTCTTCCACTAGTATGTCCATCTGCCTGTGGTATGCTCTGGAGCCAGGGAGAAGCCTGCCTTAACACGAATGGAGATTAGCCCAGTCACACCAAGAGGTTTACTTCTGGTATTATTATGTGAAAGACACCTTCCCACTTTCCAAACTTCAAGCTGCACACCTTACTGCATGGAAAGAAAGGTTCCTGCTACTGTCGCAGCAGCCATTTGCATTCAGCTACCTCAGGAATGATTTCACATCCCCAAATGCATTCTGCCACTGGAGCTTTCAGAGTCTGGCCCAGGCAATTTGTTAGCTGGAGGAGAAAATCATCCTTCCTGCAGCTATTGAGTCAAAAAAAAATTATTATTTTTTTTAGAAAAATCCTATATGCTACCCATGTGCCAATTTTTCTGGTCCTTGGATTATTCCCCAACCTCCACAAAATGGGGGATTAATAAAGAGAGAACAGCTTCTCTTGGATGATTGCAGAAGCACCCATTCTTTTCTGAAACAGTGTGGAGTTTCTGGGTATAGCCTTGCTTTAATAAAAATAAAATGAATTTAAGTGGCTGTCTCTTTTAAAACTGGAACTGAACTTTCAGTCAGGTCTATTTTTTTAAAAAAATGTTAAGTAAGTATTTCCTGAGGGGGTATTGTTCATGACAAGTCTAGGGAAGGCAAAATTGCCCAATCCCAATCCAATATTCTTAAAAGCAGCCTATCTGAGACACCAAGAAAAGAATCAAAAAGGTTGGAAAGACATGAATAAAAGCAGTGAAGAGACAAAAGGAGTAATATGGCAACCAAGAAGAAAATACTTCATGATTGGGAGCAGATCAATTGGGAAAATGGAAATTGCTGGGGGGTGGTATTTTCTAAATAACTGTCACCAAATAAACGAGTGGTGTTTTATTTCTGATCACTGAAATCTTGCATGTTGGTATGGGCTTTATTTTGGGCAAAGAAATGCCCCATGTGATGACCAGCTCATGTACATGACAATGTACTGTACACAAATCTGAAATTGAGGTCAGGGGGACAGCATGACAATATTCTGTGTCAGTTCTCTGCTGTCTTTGCATCATTTGCCAGCTAAGAAAAAGCAGGCAGATCCTGTTTCCAGGCTGGAAGTATATGTGACAAAGCGAGGCACTTCTCTTCCACCCCCTCCTATTCCCTAGACTCAGGATTATGCTCCCTCTACCTCATTCCTTCAGAATGATGGAAACTGTGATTCAACACAGCTGGAGGAAAGTTGATTTAGAGTTTAAGACAAACTGTTAAGACTGCAAGTATAAATGACAGTAGTACAGTATATTACCTTACATATTTGACAAGCATATTGCAGGAGTTTCTTATGATCTAGTCTGTCTTTGTGTTTCTGGACATAGTCTCTCAAACTCCCATACGGCAAGTATTCCATTATCAACTTCAAATTTCTCCGGCCTTTCCAAACAAATAACAAATGAAAATATTTATGATCTGAGGAAGTTTAGGTTTGATATTCAACTTTATGGCTAAACCTGATATGATTTACAAGCAGAATGCCCAGACCATGGCAAGCATATACATAGTGAAGCACTCCATGTTTGTGGCCAAATGTACAGTGTTCTATTTTCCTAAAACACATGCAACATCATAATTATGACCTGAACTAAGTGAAATAACAAAAATCAAGAATAGCATACGACTACTGGATGGTAAATCTAAGAATATGTTAATAACCGGATAAACTTGGCAACATTAACAGATTAATGTCTACATACTAGCAGCCCAAATGACTGCACTAGCAAATATATACTTCAGATAAGATTATGACAATTATTATACAGTGGTGCCTCGCTTAATGGGCACTCCATTTAGCGACGAAACCGCATAGCGATGAACTTTTTGCGATCGCATTGCGATGTTTCCTATGCGGGTTTTTTCCCTTTGCGATGATCGGTTCCCTGTTTCGCTTACCGATCATCGCAAAGCGATGATTTTTTAACAGCTGATCGGCGGTTCCAAAATGGCCGCCGGGTTAAAAAAAAAAAAGGCCGCCCGCTGTGTTTTCACACGGATTCCTTGCTTTAGAGGCAGCAAAAATGGCCGTCGTATGGAGGATCTTCGCTTTAAGGTCAATTTTTTGCCCATAGGAACGTATTTAACAGGTTTTAATGCGTTTCTATGGGCTTTTTAAAATTGCATAGTGACGAAATCGCTTAGCAGCGATTTTTGCTGCACGGATTAACGTCGCTATGTGAGGCACCACTGTACCTTTATAATGTCCCAATATTCTGTCTTGTACCAGAACTGTAAATCACCAGCAATTCTTTAAACTCTTCTATCATAGTGGATAGGAAATGTGTGGGCTTCCAGATGGTTTGGGGAAGCAATGCCTATCATCCCCCACTATATGGCTATGAAGTGAGGGCTGATGGGAGTTACAGTCCAACATCTGAAGCACCACACATTTGATGAAATCCTGTTGCTTAACATAAGTCAAACTGTAAGTTTTGGTTCATTCCTTCCCAATAAATAAAGTGTCCCTGCCTAAGAATGGGAAATGGCTATGAATGAAGTGGACCGCATACCAGCACTGTAGCACACTCCTTTGTACTTGACAATGTTTTCATGCTGCAGAGATTTGAGAATTTCAATTTCTCTTTCAAAATCCCGCAGGTGCTCTTCTGTACTGTGCTGCAGTTTTTTGACAGCCACTACTTCCCCTGTGTTATCCTGCAGTGGATCATACCGGCACATCTCCACACTGCCAAAATTACCCTACAGGACAAATAAAGAGAAACAAAAATACTGGTTGTGGGGTGCATGCATAAATATTACAAGCTGTTCTTCTAGTGCCAACGTTGTCTACCTATCCCTGAAAAAAGCTATTCGTATTTCTCACCTTGCCAAGTTGCTGTAAGAACTTGAGGTGTCTTTCTTCAAAGTAAGTGGGATCCCTGTCCTCAAAAGCCTCAGAAAACCCAAGAACGCCAGCTCTCATATTTGGTAGCATGTCATTTTCAGTCAATAATTCATAATCTTGAAAAACAAAGAAAGAAAAATATCATTTAGCCAGACTCTCCATAGCATCTGAACAGAAACAGAAGACCACAAACTATTTGTTATTAAGAAGGCAAATAAGAGGAACAATCTACTCTTCAGTGCAGAAGATGGGAACCTCCACCCTACAAGTCTTCATCTGGCCTTCAGAGGGTCCCCACTCATGCTGCCCCTCAGAGAAGCCCCTCTCTCTCCCAGGTAACTTAACACTTTGCCACACAAAGAAGCACACCCTAATTGAAAAATCAGAGAACAGACTACATCTCCAATCAAAACCAGTCACGATTACTCTGTTTAACATTACCTGGAGTGAACAAACTGTTAAGATCACGTATAACTGCTCTAAAAGAAGGCCTGAAGTCTGGTTCATAATCCATGCAGCTGTTTATAAGATTTGCCAGTTCGGTCCAATTGGGAGCAGGAAGTTGATGCCTATCTTCATAAAACTGTAGCTTCTGTAATTCAAGACATTCCAAGCATTATTATAGTAATTTAAGAGCAATTCTAAGAGATAATTGAAAAAAAAACTGGCTACTTTCAATAGCAACTGAAATTTTCTGCCTATACATCATCAACTAGCATAAAACAGCAGCAATAGTCTTTTAGGTAAACAATCTCAACTGATTACATCAGGAGATTTTTAAGGAGGTCTTTTTAAAAAATACCAATTTTGTTCCCACAAAGGTTGTTCTATAAATTTGTAAGATCCAGTAATTTACTATCATGGGACACATTATGCATGTCACCTGTTGCTACTCAGTGAGCCATTGATAATCACTTTGCTGTTTAAACAGCACTATTTCTCTGATGGCTCTTCTTCTAAAAGCCAGCAAATTGAGGGGGGAGCAGGAATTTGATGATGGGGAGACTCACTGCAAATGAACCAGTTAGTACATGGTAGCTTCTGTTACAGGGAGAAAGATAAAGAAAATGGCATGTATCACCTGTAACATGTAATTTCAGCTACAGAATTCTTTCCTAATTATTAAAGACAGTACAGTGGGGTCTTGACTTGAGAACTTAATCCGTATTGGAAGGCGGTTCTCAAGTCAAAAAGTTCTCAGGTCAAATCTGCATTTCCCATAGGAATGCATTGAAAACCATTTGATCCGTATCTGCTGTTTTCCGTCCATAGAAACTAATGGGAAGCTGCTATTCTGCCTTTGACCACTAGAGGGGGATATTTTGTTTCTTTTTTTTCTTAGGTCAAGAAAGGGTCAGGGAAGGCAGGGAAAATACAGTCCAGGCAGTCCAGTACCAGGCAGTCTGAAGACTGTCTCCCAATCCACTCTCTAAACGCTGGGAGGAGTGAGGAGGCAGACAGGCACCCTTTTCACTGGCCAACAGTTAAGTGAAAGTTCAAATTTTGCACTTTCCCTGCCTCCCACGTGGGTGTTTTTCAGTTCTTAACTCAAATCTAAGTATGTAAGTCAAGTCAATATTTTCCTATGAGAGTGGTTCTTAAGTCAAAATGTTCTTAACTCGAGCCGTTCTTAAGTCAAGACCCCACTGTATGGGATAGAAATGCATGATGAAATTGTATCCAGATGGCTGAAGGAAACTGTACCTCAGTAATGCTGATTGTAAGGACAGAAAGACAAATACTCCAAGCTCCAGGTAGTACTCACTCGCTGAGAATCCAGTGCTCCAAGAGGCTTATCACCTCCACTGCAGATTTCCCACAGAGTGGTCCCAAAACTCCACTTATCTGTTGCCAAACTCAGTTGCTTGGGATTTTCAATGCATTCAGGTGGCACCCATGGTATTCTCTCAATAAGAACTAGATTAACATAAAAAAGCAGGATAGTTTCTTACTAGTATGCAATTAAGAAGCTAGAAATATTTTTGTGATGTTTTAAACTGGTGTTCCATCTATCACACAAACCGTTTTGAGACAAATCTGCTGATACATGGTCTACAAATATTCTAAATAAATATGCAAAATGAAATTATCTCATGCTTTAAAGAGCCAGCCCATGTAGCTCTAGGCAAGCTGTAGAGTCTCAAAGTGTCCCCCAAAGCAGCAAATGATAAACCACTTTATCACTGAGTACTCTAGATATAGAAAACCCTTGCTTGTCATAACTTGGAACTGACTTGATGGTACACTGTTACTATTACTGTTGTTAATGATGCAAAAATTGAAGATCAATGTCTCTGATCTGCATAAGGTATTTTTGACATGTTCACTCAGATTGTAAATTAAAGGTCCAAATACATGAACATTCTTGTATTATGAAAAATACTCTGCAGACATACAGAGTTAAGCCATAATCGAAATAGTCTTTGTCTCATAAAAGAGGTCAAGGAATCTCCTGTGCATAAATATCTTGGAACCACTGGATTAGGAAAATCATGCATATACTGCTCTTAAATTACTACCTGTACTTTGTAATAACTACAAAACGCTGCAGCAACTTATGCAACCTTACATGAACATCAACAGTTCCAGGGAACATTTTATGTTTCACTCATGGCACAAGTGTACTTGTTAGCATATAAACAAACATCTATACTTCTAGGTAGCAAAATATGTTCCAATGGTTGTTCTGGGTTTTTCGGGCTCTTTGGCCGTGTTCTGAAGGTGGTTCTTCCTGACCTGCTCTACCTGTACAGGTTGCTGTCCTCTGAAGATGCCGGCCACAGAGACTGGCGAAACGTCAGGAAGAACAACCTTCAGAACACGGCCAAAGAGCCTGAAAAACTCAGAACAACCATTAGATCCCAGCCGTGAAAGCCTTCGTGAATATATTAAAATATGTTCCCTACCAATTTTTCAAAAAGAAAGGGAGGGAGGGAGAGGGGAGAGAGAAAGAAGGAAATTGAATGGTGGAATAAATACTCAACACAAAGAGAGAAATGAAAGAAACTTATTAACATTTACATAGTAGTATGCTAACTACTGAAATTAATAAAGAGACTTACTGTCTTTTGGCAAAACGGTAATACCAAGACCAGGATCACTAAGCTTGATAAAAGGAAGGCTCCCGGACTTCCTGTCTTCTTCTCTGATAAGTAAGATATTTTTTGCACATACATTCCCATGAATAAGGTTTTTATCTTCCTGATAAAGACAAATACTATGGCTTAATTTCTCCCACAAACACAGATTAAACTGTAACTGCATTTCTCATGAGGATACTTCTACAAAAATTTTTACACATTTAGAACATGGGAGCATTAGACTCTCCCTCACTACTCCATGAAAATGGATTCCCATATTCTCCTGTTTCATAGATGTGAACATAGCTAGCCCAATTCCATGGATCTACCAATGGTAGTGGATTCTGCCCTATGTGCTTCAGTATCTAGCAAAGCTCTGCATAATCCACAGCAATATTTTTAGTCAAAATCACAAAAGAGGAAAATACAGTCTCTGTTTCCATGGGGCAATTCTTTGCTTCTGCACTGGAATGAATAACCTATAATTTAATACATTGGCATTTTAGGTCATATACAAATCAGATTTGAACAATGACCATAGCAAGAGTGCAGCTGGATTTGACTTTGTCCCCCACCCCATGTTTTTATTAAACCAAACAGATTCATTACCCTATGTAATTCAGATCTGATCCTCTTAAAGCTGAGCACAAATAATGATTCTATAGTCAACAAATTCAAGAACACAGGATGTTTCTGGTATTATTTTGGTGGTAGCATCAGAAAAACAGTAATAAGGGTTACATAAGATTATCTGCAGACTGAGGTGCCTTGGAATCCCATATGCCCCCAGTGGACAGGCTAGGATTCTTTTGTTATCATGCAGTCTGTAATCAATCAGTTTCTCTTTAGCCCATACGTAGCCAAATTCTTCAGTATTGGGGCTAACAGAACCAGAGCCTATTTCAAATTCAGCTCAGTGGAGTGGCTGTTGCCCTCATTTCCCATCCTTCCTTGCTAGAGACATAGAAGGTGGTTGAGATCAGACTTCACATGCTGAATTTGCAGAGTGCACTGGCAAGGAGAGAGGCTGGATGGAAGCTACAGTATAGACAGTGGTCCTATGTATTAGGAAGTGTAGTGAAGAGGAAAATTAAATAAATTGAACATAGGGAACTGGATGTTGTGATGCAACTCCACACGCACTTAACAAGCCCCAGAGAAAGAAAAAGACTACCTATAACAGATCACGACAGCTGCTTTTCAGGAAAGAGTACTACTATGGTCTTCCCTATATTAAGTCTCATTGTTATTCCCTTCAACCCATGAAACAGGAATATTCTTTTATGTGTTTAAGAGCAGCATTGAGACTATGTTGTTTAGGAATATGGCCTTGATGCTACAATCAGAACACGTGAAGCACGTATGAATAACCATGTAAAATACTTGAGAAGGGAAAACCACACAAAGCCCTTTGGGTTTTGAGATTAAATCAATGACAAATGCAGACTACTTACTAGAAAATGCATTGCCATCGCCAGTTGCTTTGCCACTTCCAATTTCCACAAAATATTGATTGAGCTCTTATTCTTCTTCAAGTATGTATCCAACGATCCAAATTTTACATACTCCTGTACCAAAATATCTGAATGGAAATACAGATATTAATAAATGGACAATATTAATAAAAACAAATAACAGAATCCAAAACAAACAATATATCATAGTTAGCAATCATTATGTTATCCTATCTGAAAAATGTTTGTTTTCCCCCGTCAACGTACATAGGAAATTTTAGAAACAATTCTCATTTTTGCAACCTAGTTAATGCTGAGAAGTTCTTGGGAATCTGACTACAAATTACAAAAATGTAAATGTGTTTTGTAGTCCCCACAAATATATATTCTGAAGTCTCTAAAGGGCTAGCTAATGTTGCATGGTCAGATGAGGAAGGAGAAAATCATATTGAGATATGGCTTCAAATCCTCCTGGAAAAATGGTTTACGGATATTTTTAAAGAAAACATCAACATATGTATCCTTTGTAAGCAATCTTACGAGGTTTAAGGTTTCTGGTGCTGGTTTGGAAGGGAGGGCGAGATTTGAATGGTGGAAATTCATGCACATGCAATACAAGTGATATAATTCTGATCAGTCACAGTTCTCAAATCACAGGGAAATTGTTTTTTTTTAAGTGAGGGGGAAATGGTTGATACGGAAAGGCTTTCAAATATATCAAGGAAGCGTTATTCTCAGGGCTTGAAAATTTTTAGAATGTCTCACCAGTCAAAAATGTCACCAGTCAGCATGATTGGACTATAGCCTTGCAATTTATGTTAACAAATTTAAACTAGGCACTTGCTCACTTTTATTTCTATGTAACAATGCGTACAAACCCAAAATAAACATACCCTCAAACTTGGGTTGCTTCATTACCTGTGTGCCTGTGGGTCATGAAGCTTGTATTTTGAATGCCTTTCTTTTGAATGTCTCCAGCAAAAATAAAACTGAAAGCAAAAGTGCCCGGCCTCTTAAGGAGCCATGGTTCCATCCCACCCCAGGATGTGTCCTTGTTCGGTTGAAATTGGGAGCAGGGAATCTCCATATTCTCCAGCATGGGACTACTCTACATTTTCCTGCAGAGCTATATATCTATGTGCTGCTTGAACTCTCTTGTCGCAAGTAGAGGGCTGTTTTCCTTTTGCAATTGGGGGGAGGGGAGGACCGCAGGATCATTGAGAGAGAGACAGGCAGGTAAGGAGGCAGGGAGGGAGCTGTGGCTCGTCGAGCAGCATTTTTTCACTCCTCACAGACAAGTGGACGAGTGCATTTTTCAAGGCCTGGTTATTCTACAGAGACGGCACATAATATAAATCTTTCACATGTGGGTATTAATACTCCCTAGATGTTCTGCCACGATACCCCACCTACTGGCTATATATTTGAGGCTGCTATGTCACAAAAAGATACAGAGCCACATTTTCCCACCCCCGGCTGTTACATCAATCCAGTCTCTTAATTGTTTCATGACAATGTACTGTATTTTTCTGTTTGTAAGACACCCCTATGTATAACATCCCCGTCCCAATTTTGACCCTTTTGAGCCCGAGTGCCCAAATCAGCGAATCACCTTTTCCCCCTCCTCAAATATAGGCAGGGCCTTCACCCGGGCTTCCTGTGCTGCACCCCACTCACTCACTCTCCTGCAGTGCCAGAGTTGCAGTCAATGGGCAGCAGCAATTTCCCACTGAGGGACGGCCAGGTGCAGCTTCTCCTTCACCTCCTGCTGCTGTCACCACCTTATCACTATCTCCAGCACCACTCACGGGCTCCGTTCAGGCAGGGGACAAGGCAACGGCATGAGCTGTGCACCGGGCTGGCATGGGCAGCAGCACTGACATGGCTCGCATGCCCACAGAGAGAGCTCTGCATGCCAGCTGTGGCACGTAGGTTTGTCTTACTTCCATGTATAAGATGACCCTCAATTTTTACTCTTAACTATTTTAGGAAAAAGAGGCATCTTATACATGAAATAATGTGGTATATACTTCCTTAGCAGACAATCTATATATGATCAGGATGCAGATAAATCCCATAATAGCTATTAACATACTCAAAGATAAGAAGTGAACTATTGTATACAAAATAATTAAGTAGTTTTACTCACTTTCCTCTCCATAGACACAAACTCCATAATTTAATACCAAGTGCTTGTAAGAGAGCTGACTCATCATGCTGGCAGCTTCAAAGAATGACTGAACGAGAAAGGGAACAACAATTAACAGAGTGAATCCTAGTAGGAATTAAGTGAAATTAACTCTAATTAAAAACACGCACATATTTTCACATAGCCTCATCTCTACTATCTTCTACAATACTGCACAATTATTTATGTACCACTGGTTTCTGCAGGCTTATCTTTAAAAATAATTATTCTCTGCATAATGCACCGCTCTCTTATAACAACCACAAGCACAACACGCCAATTTAATGGTATTAGGAAAATTTCTAATGAGAACACAAGAACACTTTATATGGTAAGAACTAGTAAATAAACAACTAGGCAACTGCTCTTGAATTCTGAGCTACGGACCTGGTAAGTCAACTCCTCCGTAAGTTCCAATGATTCAAACAGGCCTATTCTAGTTGCAGCTTACTATGCTAAATTAAGTTATAAGTAGAATAGCACTGCTTGAATCAATTTAGTTTATGGATAGTTGACTCACAAAATCTCCACTGATTAAATGGGCCTATTCTAGTGCAACTTACTAAGGGATGGGATTTCAGCCACTATGTTTATGCCACTGAGGTCACTGATCAGCTGAATCCCTTTTCTCTGGCTATTAAGTATCTCACTGTCTTCCTTCAGAACCAAAAATTTCTCCAGGCCTCGTTTGCTTTCAACAAAGGAAAAACACAACAGAACCCAAGTAGAAACAATCACTGAAAATGGCATTGTAAGTACATCTAATTTAACATCTTATTCACAGAATTCAGAAATTTCAGTGTAGTGTACCAACATCTCTTTATCAAGGGAAAAATACAGTAGATATGTCTGTAACTGCATCATCCTCAGTACATCTGGCATACACTTTTGACTTTGATATCCCTCCCTTTTTTATATAGAGACCAGTATTGTCCTTTTATCTCAGACTATACATTTTCAACCTTTTTCACTCTAGGTGGCTTACATTAAACCAGCAAAATAAGAAAACATCAAATATAACATAAACAACAAACCTCAGAGTAGTTCCTGTGCACTTTATCCAAGACTTTCAGCAGGACTTCTGTCTGATACAGCTTTCCGTAGTCTCCCACTTCTTTCCTCACTCCTTTGAAAATCTTAGTGAAGGTGCCCTGCCCAAGACTTTCATTCTAAGAAAACCAAATATGGGGTAGGGGAAAGAGGAGCAGATCAACAGGAAAACTTTTTTGTGCTCATTTAAAAACAAAACAATCACAAAAAGCTTTGAATCTATTAAAATAGCAGCATCAGTTAAAAACAATAAAGATGCAAAATAATGGAATCCAAAAACTGTTTCTATTAAATTATTAGAGACAAACAGAGAAACTTCTACATGGATCGTTTGCATACTTAATGAAAGGGTAAGTTCCACTGAATTTCTTTCCGTTTAAGCACATAGGATCACAATCTTACAGTCATGGCCAGAAATATTGGCACCCTTGCAATTCTGTCAGAAAATGCAACCCTTCTCTCAGAAAATTGTTGCAGTTGCAAATATTTTGGTACTCACATGTTCATTTTGTTTGTTTGTGTTGGAATAACACACACACAAAAAATACAGAAGAAAAGTCACATCAGATACAATCCCACACAGAAACCCAAAAATGTACTGCCCAAAATTATTGGAACCCTTAACTTAATATTTGGAAGCACCCCCTTTGGAAAAAATAACTGAAATCAATCACTTCCTGTAACCATGAATGAGTTTCCTACACCTCTCTACTGGAATTTTGGACCACTCTTCTTTTGCAAACTGCTCCAGCGCCTTGAGATTTGAAGGATGCCTTCTCTCAACTACTGTTTTGAGATCTCGCCACAGGTGTTCTATGGGATTCAGATCTGGCCTCATTGCTGGCCATTTCAGAACTCTCCAGCACTTTGTTTGTAACCATTTCTGAGTGCTTTTGGAAGTGTGCTTCAGATCATTGCCCTGCTGGAAGACTCATGACCTCAGGTGGAGATGCAGCTTTCTGACACTGGCCACTACGTTGCACCCACCCCAAAATTCTTTAGGAATCATCAGATTTCATGCTACCATTCACAGTCAAGGCATCCAGTGCCAGAAACAGCAAAGCAACCCCAAAACATCTTTGAACGTCCACCATATTTGGCTGTAGGGACTGTGTTCTTTTCTTTGAAAGCCTCATTTCTTTTTCTGTAAACAGTGCCATGATGTCCTTTACCAAAAAGCTCCCTTTTTTGAGTTATCAGAAGCTTAGAACTCACCAATGTATAGCTGAAATTAGTTTTTACTGCAGTATCCATTACTTTTCTCTCGCTTCCTAAACGACTGTACATCTGCCATCTAGAGCTCATTTACCCCGTTTTGAAAGGCACTTTTGGAGTGCTTCACAGTCCACTTTTTGTTTCAGTCACCCTAAATAATCTGGTCCTATCAGCAAACATGGATTTCCTACTGCTCCTCCGAAGAAATATTTATTACTTATTGGGCAAAATCCTCTTGTGCAAATATACGCCAGCTAAATGATGTCATCATCCAGGCTGGTAATATTTAATTAAACTTAGCTGAAAGCTTCTTATCTTCCCATTTCAGCTTCCAAGGTTCCCTAGGACTCTCTTTTGCCCTGAGATTGGCACTGCCAGTGACAATTCTGGGCTATTAAATGCTCTTCCCCAGCCTGAGGCTCCCAGGACAAGCCTGAAAAAGGAGGCAGGATAACAAACTTTCCAAATCGGCCCGAACCCGGAGACGTGCTCAGAATGTCATGAGCTTTTCAGGCTGGAGGTATGGTGCGTTCCTCCCTGTCGGAAAGCCCAATCTCTTCCCTCAGAAAATCCTGCACCAGTATAGGAGCCACGGAAAGAGGTGCAGTAGCCGGTTTGGTTAGTTCCTTTTGCCCCTTAGGCCTCTCCTTGTCTTTCCTCTTATTTGCAAGATCAATAGACCGTTGCTGAGCCTTGTTGGAAGCTGGCTTAGGTGGTTTTTTAGGGGTCTTGGATTTAACAGGTAAAGAAGTTGTGCTGGATAAAGACTGGTCAATAGGGCTAGTAGCTGATTTAGCAGCTTCCTGACGAGGAGGGTTTGAAGAAGGGAGGGCTGTAACCTCCATGGTAGGATTCAAAGACTTCTCGTAAAGAAAGGATCTCAGTCGTTTGAGCCGCAGCTTAATAGCCTGTTTGGAAAAGATGCGGCACGCAGTGCATGACTAGGTGTGATGGGATTCCCCCAGGCAAAATAAGCAGAGATCGTGCCCGTCTGTGAGAGGAATTTGCCTGAGACAAATGGAGTACTTCTTAAAGCACCGAGGGGCCATAAAACAAAAAGAAAATAAAGGGGGGAAATTCGCTGGAGGGGGAGTGGGGGGAAAAGGACGATAGAACGGAATAATAAAAAAAGAAACTGGAGATTCTATCAGGCTGAACAAAACAGAATAATAAAAATACAAAAAATAAAAATAAATTTAGCAAAGCTAAAATCACTTTCCTTAGCACTCTATGTTCCTAATGTTCTACTCGAACGGCGGAAAAAGAGGAACTGAAAGGAAGGTTGAGGAGGTGGAGCTCATACCCTGCGGGGGGGATGCCGACTAATTGTCTCTCCCCCCCCGCTCTAGAATTTTCTGAGCATCCTGCGCAGGCACAGGATAAAACCCATTTGTGTGCATTCAGAGGCCACTACAAAGAACAAACCTTTAGCTAATTTAAGTTAAATTTTACCACCCCAGATGATGATGTCCACTGGTGTCATTTGTGCACATTTATGCTAATAGGACTTTGACCATTTTATTATTTAATCAACGTGTAGCTCTTCCTATATTTCCGAAAAACAAAGTACATCTTAAAGTATTTTGTGGAATTCCTTTGGAAAACCTTTTTATGGATTTCAGCCCAATTCAGGTGCAAGTGTGTTGTAGGCCAAGACCACATACAGCAAGAAAAACCTATTCATTTTTAAGATGCAACAAGACTGTTTTTCTTATTTTTGCTGCAACAGACTAACACTGGCTATCCTCTGGAACCTACATTTAACAGTAGCTCAAAGCAGTGTAGCAAAAAGTTAGAAGGCAGTGATCCTAGTACAGATCCTTAGGGAATTCCCTTGTGTGATCTGACTTTAGTGAAATACTGGAAGAGATAATGGGGAGCAAGATGCGTATATGAAAATTAGGACATCATCTGAATTGTACTCCTATATTTCTTTTAATAGGGATAAAATATAAAAATAAAATTATAAATACATCAGCATCAGCAATGATTTAGTCACAGAGTGAATGGATATCCCCTCTCAAATATATAATTAATTCCACATTTTGTAAAAATGTGAGTCTACCTTGTGCATTTATCACAATATCCACTTTTCTGTGCAAATAATTCCCAGTAAGGCACATCATGGAGAAACTGCTCCAGTGAGAAAAGATGGGACTCAATACACAGAGTAATTGTATTTAGAACCAGAATGGTATACGGCACATGCCTGTTGAACTTACAAAGATCAGGTCTTCATTCCGGATTTTGTGGAAGACCATCTGGTTGATATTTTTATGCCTCTGTAAGGTGGGTGAAGTTGGCACATCAGAATTTCCATTGCTCCTGAAGACTAGAAGGTTGGATTTATCTGGGAGAAGCCAAGAGAACACTGGTTCAAACACACATGGCCTGCAAATGCTGACTCTCAGCCCAACATGTAAATTCAAGTATTATTTGAGGTGATATGGAATACTGAGAAGGCTCTATCTCCAGAGGCTCATTCACACAAGCACATTTTAAAAAGAGATAATTATTAGAGATGGGCACAAAATCAACCACGAACCAAAATCCCCGATGAACCAAGCTGATTTGTGGTTCATTTCATGGCCCAGTTCATGGGTCATGAAGCAAAACAAAATGCCCAAGTTTTTTCCCCTTTGTCTCTGCTATTATTGTGCATGAGAGCATTTGCTGTGAATTATTTCTGAGGCAATGGATAACTCAGCCCTCTTGAGTTGCTGTGCTTTTGGAGTTATGTTGGAGTCTGGCCATTCATTAACACTGGACAAACTGCTGAATTTTTTCAAGTGCATGTGTGTCAGGTTTGAGCAGGGGAATAAACAGAAAAGAAGAGGAAACATCCAAACTATATAGTTCACTCACTATCTGAGCAACAGTCCCAGTGCACCACACACCAACCGTGTTTGTTTTACTTTTCCCAAGGGTTCTGGAGGCCAAGAAGATCAGACAGCATTTGCTACGTAAAACATACTCTATATTTTACATTCTACTGCTTCCAGATATGAATGCATGTACATGTATAGGCTATGAATGTATTCTCTAGAGATGGGACTTTTGTGGGGGGGGGGGCAGGAAAGAACTCCCAGTCTCACAATTTGGTTGAACCCCGCCCACAGGCCAAATTATGGGACTGGGAACCATCAAACAGCAGCAGGTAGAACAGCCTATGTAGGGGTTTGTTTCCCCATGCACCCTTGCATCCTCATGATCTACAAAGCTTACATTAAAATAGAACAGTCTTTAAGGTGTCACATATTGTCTTTTTTGTTTTGTTTCATTTTGTGTTTTGCCAGAGGTGGACCAAGGCACCTTTCAGAGGGACAAAAAAACGATACAGGGAAGGTAAAAGGGCCATTCTACCTCCTGCTGTTTGATAGTTCCCAATCCTGGAATTCTGACTGCAGGGTTCCTGACCAGGATTTTTTTCCCAAAACTGTCCTGTCTAGACACATTTCATTAATCAATCCAGAACATTAAAGGAAAAATTCTGCTCTGCAGAGGTTTGACTCCAGTTCTGCTACTTTAGTATTTTAATTATATATGTTTGTGTTCCTTTAAATTGTGATAGGTTTTAGTGACAGCAGTTCTTACCTCAGGTGTATTTTATTACAAAAAAATGAACTACAAGAGCAACAACATTCAAGAAGTTATCAACCCTTTACCTTTTGGCTTTGGAGGGCAACATCTGGTAAACTGAAATATCATACTATCTGAACGGACAGTTTCTGTCCGGTAACAATTCAACAGATCCACAAGGTTTGTAAAACTTCTTCTCGTTCCCGTGAGATTATACTCTCCATTTTCATTTTTTGTTATCAAGCAATGCTTATAATCAATGGTGCTGTCTTGCTGTAGAATTCAGAGGAGAAGAAACATGTTGTTTTAAAATTAACATTTTTGTTTAAACTTTGTTTAAATTTAATCAAGTTTTAGTTATTAACAGCACTCATCTTCATAGTACTGATCTCTCTATAGCTAAAAGGGACCACTTTCACACAAAGAGAGGCATCAACAGGCTTAGAGACACCCCAAATATTATAGAAGTAGGGGGGAAACTCTTGGGGAAAAGAACCATTAAATGGAGGACCCCACTCTCCAGTTGCATGAGAAGTATGTCCTGTAGTCACAGAACATTCAGTGTCTACTGAGGAAGGGAAACTGAAAACCACCAAGGGGAACAAATATCCTGGAAAAGGATGTGGCCAGCTGGTTGAAAACCAAAGGGAAGCCTCTGCATGCTATACGTTTTATTGCATTCTACCTAATGAAGATTCAGATCTCCTTCACATATAACTACATGCTTTGATCAACAGAAAAAAAAATTTGCTCTTGAAATTCGCTTTGGAAACCATGACCACCCTGAAAACTGACAGAGACTGTGTGAAATCAAAAGTCCTGGTAGCCTTCACAGGCTCTTCAGCACTCATCCAATGCAAATCTTGCACCTCTGGTGTGCAGTGCCTAAATCAGTATATTTCTTTAGGGCAGTCATTCTTCACTTTGGGTCTCCAGATGTTCTTGGACTAAAACTCCCAGAAGTCTTCAACACCAGCTGTGCTGGCCAGGACATCTGGGGGCCCAAGGCTGGGACCACTGCTTTAGGGCCAGCAGACTAAATGGCAAACTAGCTTTTTATCACATTTATGCTTCAAATTGCTAAAGGACAGAAAAATAAATCCTGCTAGCAACATCTGGTACTGAAAACCTCTTCAGTAAAAAATGGCAAGGGGTGAAAATATTAAAAATGACAGCTTCAAACAGACTTCAAATCAGACCAAAAAACAAACACATCAAAACCCCTCCTACCAACATTCTGTCTACTTTTCAGCCCCGCTAGGTGGGGCTCTGCCACTTTCGCATGTGACACTGTCCCCCCACGACTCCACACACACATCCCTGTGGGGTTCTGTTGCAACTGAAATAAAAGAAGCTGGAAACGCTCACTGTGGGTGTGCAGAGAAGGAGGAAAGCTGTGGGGTGTATGGATGTGGAGTTGCATGCACTCATGCAGCAGTGCACCTTAACGGAAACCTTGCTTCCTACATTTTAAATATTGAAAATTAAACTACTGTCCTTTGTTGGTACAGTCTGAAGTAGATGTCTCATGATACATGTGCAAAACCTGGATCATGAGACATAAACTGTTGCCTGATAAACTGTGAAGATATGTAAATATTAGTATGGAGTTTCATTCTAACAGTTAAATATCCATTATTTTGCACCTACATCATAATAGAAAAGCAAATACTGTAATTCTTTATTGTTTCCCATGTTTTGTAGATTCTCAGAAATATAAATATCATAAATCATAAAATAATCATAAATATATATATGTCATTCATGAAGCACAGAGATTATACTGAAAACTAGCCAGCATACCCACAATCAAAGAAATTCTGGATCTCCCACTTATTACTCACCATCAGAACCATTGAGAGTTCTGATTCTCAATACTAACCTGCACTGCAAAGGTAAGGAAGTACTTATTAAACTCTTTTGGACTGCAACGAAGAACGTAATAGCCAGTCTGGTTGCCAGCTTTCTTCAGTTTACTGATTGCAAAGTCCATGCTGTTTTTTTTAAAATATAAAGGGGAAAAATGTTAAAAAGACCTAAGACATTCTGAACTACAAACCAGTCATAATGACTACCAGACTTTAATCCCATATAAAGAATTTTTGAGCTTGAATACATTACAGCTATCACGCAAATCATACTGTGAAACACCACAAGCATCAGAGCACAAGTTTTTTTGTTTTTGTTTTTTGCATTTTGCCACTTGTCCGTCCCATAGCTGATGTCCGTACTGACTCCACAAGTGGAGGGCAACTAGGCATCCAACGATACCTCTTGCCCCCTTACACAACTGCTCTTATGCACTCATGTAATGCAACAAGATTCTGGAGTATGTATCCATGAGTGCTTGTAGATTACAGCAACTATGCTACACACTTGCTCTACCCTTCTTTTGAAAGAGTTCTAGTAACTGTTACTTTACAAAGAAACACCCCACATATTGGTGGTTTTTTTAAAAAAAGGGAATTTTGACTTACCATACATTCTTGTTTTTTTAGAAGGCTTAGAGAACAGTCTTTGTGGGTAAGTAATGTCTGTTAATGGAAGACAGAACTGAATTCTGACTTGTCTAGATAAAAGATATTGACTGCTCTCTCATTAAGAGTCTGAAGAAGAAGCTTCTTGCTCTGTGGCACTACAAGCCAGTCACTGAAACCCATACACCAATAATCCATGTGGAAAAAGACACACAACTACCCATCTACTTTCTAATGTTCCTAATGGAGTACTGCCAAGGTGACACATTCACTTGTATAGATAAAATATTTATCTAAGGGTGCCTAGAGAATGCAAATGACCACATTTCAGAATATCTCCCTGCTTTTCCAGAAGACACAAGGATGTCTCCACATTAGGAATATCTGAAAACTATCATCATACTGTAAAAGGAATCTTCTACAGTTGGCCACTTTGATAACACTGAAAGTATCTATGTTTCAGATACAACTTTTGCAAAAGGGAAAAGTTGTAATGGCAAGGTTCAGATACCCAGAAGCCTTTCCCCCCACTGTTTCTGCAAATGGACAGAGTGTGTAGTTCAAATGTCATCCAATTTGTACCACATTAGATACAGAAGCCCTGATTTTCTGGAACTGAGGCACTTGCTGTCCAAAACAGAACAGGGGCATTCTCATGAGGCTGAATAACTTACCCAGGACTGCATCTGCTGGCATCTCTCTTAGTAAGGAAGGGACAATCCAGCAATACAGTGGGCCCTTGACTTACGAATGGCCCTAGTTGCGAATGTTTCGGGTTACGAACCCGATCTCATCTCAAGTAGCAGACCCTACCTACGAATGCAAATCGAGTTATGAACCCAAAAGGCAGGGAGAAAGGGCAGGAAATTCAAATTTCCTGCCCTTCCTCCCTGCCTTTGGAGCTTTCAAAAGGCTTCCTCTGACATCGGAGGAAGCTCTTTGAAACCTCCGAAGCAAAAAAAAAAAAAAAAAAAAAAAAAAAAAAAAAAAAAAAAAAAAACC